CTTCGGCTCTGGTCATGATCCCAGGGTCCTGGACTCCCTGCTCAGTGGGGAGCCTGCTTCTTCCTCTCCCTCTGCCTGCCACTCCCCTTGCTTGTGCTCTCTCTGTCAAATAAATAAATAAAATCTTTTTTAAAAAGTAAAAAAAAATTTTTTTCTGAAGAAGTTTATTTTTTAAAAAAGATTTTATTTGTTTTTTAAAGATTTTATTTATTTACTTGACAGAGAGAGATAGCGAGAGCAGGAACACAAGCAGGGGGAGTGGGAGAGGAAGACGCAGGCCTCCCACTGAGCAGGGAGACCGATGCGGGGCTCGATCCCGGGACCCTGGGATCATGACCTGAGCCAAAGGCGGATGCTTAATGACTGAGCCACCCAGGCGCCCCGATTTTATTTATTTATTTGAGAGAGCAAGAGAGCATGAGCAGAGGGAGGGGCAAGGGAGAAGCAGATTCCCCACTGAGCAGGGAGCCAGATGTGGGGCTCTACCCCAGGACACTAGGATCATGACCTGAGCTGAAGGCAGATGCTTAACTGACTGAGCCACCCAGGCACCTTTTCTGAGGAAGTTAAAAGAAAACTCTTAAGTAGCTTTAAAGAAGTTTATTCTTTTATTTATTTATTTATTTTTAAGATTTTATTTATTTATTTGACAGAGACATAGCAAGAGAGGGAACACAAGCAGGGGGAGTGGGAGAGGGAGAAGCAGGCTCCCTGCTGAGCAGGGAGCCCGATGCAGGACTCAATCCCAGGACCCTGGGATCATGACCTGAGCTGAAGGCAGATGCTTAACGACTGAGTGACCCAGGTGCCCCGAAGTTTATTCTTTTAAAGGCATGGCAACTATTAGGTTACATATCTACCATTTTATTTGAGTTATTTGATATACCCTAGAAAGAGCCATAGTTTACCCATTTAGACCTTTAACTTCTGGTAAGGAATTGGATTTTACAAGAGTTACTAGACTACCTATATCAAACCTGGTGCTGTCATTTTTTATATTTACTAAGAGGTCAATCAACAAATGACATTGGATCAATATTTAGTATTAGCATGTCCAAAAGTTCTTTTCTGGTCATGGACACTTTTTTTTTTTTTTGAAGATTTTATTTATTTATTTGGCAGAGAGAGACACAGTGAGAGAGGGAACACAAGCAGGGGGAGTGGGAGAGGGAGAAGCAGGCTTCCCGCGGAGCAGGGAACCCAGTGTGGGGCTCGATCCCAGGACCCTGGGATCATGACCTGAGCTGAAGGCAGACACTCAATGACTGAGCCACCCAGGCACCCCTGGTCATGGACACTTCTTGAATCATAAAAACACAGTCTAGGATTCTCCTTCACTGGGTAAAGATTATAGAATTTCTGGATTAAGAAAGTTATACCAGAGGATGATAATGTGAGAGAGAGAGAGTAATGATAATTCATAATTAATCAGTTAGTGGAAAAAGATTGGGTGGTTTCAATTAGCAAAAGGGATGTGATAATATCAGCCAGTCTCCAGTCTAAAAGACCTCAACCATTAACCCTCAAAGGCCAGCTTAGGTTGGGTGGAGACTATTGTGCCTGTGATTCCATCCATTCTCTGTGGAACACTCCCTTATACATTCAAAAGAAACAAGATAATCCTGGAAAAAGCAAAATCCCTTGTGACATAGCTTTGCACAGAGATAAACAACAACAAAAGCAAGGCAAACAGCAGAATTATCCTATTAATGGCAAAAATATTTATCAAAGAATATACCACCAAACAAAAGGTCTTATAACCTTATACAAAGACCTAGATTTCATAACTGAATGGTGCATCTCCAGACCCAAAGGTCTAATTACTTAATACAAAGATCCAGGCCTAGTGATCTTATACAGGTCCAGTAAATGCACCTGTTGAACTGAGGGTCCCTGGAATGCTGCCAAGTGAGGGTCTTCAAAATGATGTTGCTGGAACCTCTAGAATTATCAAAAATGATAAGACTATAGCTCAGTATATGACATAGAAAGACAAAAATGAATTTGTATTATAATTATTATAATAAAGGAGAGCAGGCAGTCCCTCTAAGCAGAGTAGACTGCTGATCATAATAGAATTTTGGGGAAGCATGGACTTCAGGGATTGATGGACATAAGAAGGTTGATATTATCTATAGAAGTGTTACTTGGGTAAGACTATTGTTTTTTTTTGTTTTTGTTTTTTTAAGATTTTATTTATTTGACAGAGAGAGATACAGCGAGAGAGGGAACACAAGCAGGGGGAGTGGGAGAGGGAGAGCAGGCTTCCCGCTGAGCAGGGAGCCTGATGCGGGCTTGATCCCAGGATCCCGGGACCATGACCCGAGCCGAAGGCAGACGCTCAACGACTGAGCCACCCAGGCGCCCCTGTAAGACTATTGTTGATTGATTAGCACTCTGAGGGGTAATTATTGGCATGAATTAGTTCCTGGATGACTGACTTTCAGAAGTGATCCTGACTGCTTGATTTGCAAAAGGGATTAACTGAGGTTAGTTGTCATTAACTGATTGAACAGATTTCAAACAAGTTCTGGTGGTATGTTAGTCTTCTATTTTTGTATAACAATATTACCACAAACAGTGGCTTCAAACAACACACATTTATTATCTTATAGTTCCTGTGGGTCAGGAATCCAAGTACAACTTTTCTGGGCCATCTACTTAGGGTCTCACAAGGCTGCGGTAATCAAGGTGTGAACCGGGGCTGGGTTCTCATCTGGAGGCTCAACTGGGTAAGGATCTATTTCCCCACTTGCCTGGTTGTTACTAGTATTCAGCTCCTTTAGGATGTTTAATTGAGTGCTTCGTTTTTATTTATTTAATTAATTAATTTATTTTTGCTGGCTGTCAGCTGGAGGCTCATTTCTTAGTGACTAGAAGCAGTTCCTTGCTATGTGGAGTTCTCCCGCATGTCCACTTGCTTCCTTGCAGCCAGCAAAGGGGAAAGAGACTTCAGCAAGATGGGCCTTATGGTCTTTGTAATCACATAATCATGTATACACAATCATGTATCTCCCAACAACTATGCATATTCTATTGGTTAGAAGCAAGACACAGGTCGTGCCCACATGTAAGAGAAGGGGATCACACAAGCACATGAACACCACAAGATGGGGCTCATCAGAGCTACCTGTCAGTGGCCAGTCTGTCTACCACAGATGGCTACTTGTTACCATGGCTACATAGCAATCTTTTCCTAAATTTGTGGGTGTGGAGCAACTGGAGTCTCCCACACTGCTATTGGGAACATAAAATGGTAAAAACTTTGGTAAATGATTTGTTTTTTGATTAGTTTTTTTTTTAAGATTGTATTTATTTATTTGAGAGAGAGAGCACGAGCTGGGGGAGGGGCAAAGGGAGAGGGAGAAGCAGACTCCCCACTGAGCAAGAAGCCCAACACAGGGCTTGATCCCAGGACTCTGGGATCATGACCTGAGCTAAAGGCAGACATTCAACTGACTGAGCCACCCAGGTGCCCCGGCAGTTATTTTTTTTAAGATATATTTATTTATTATTTTAGAGAGAAAGAGTGAGAAGGGGGGAGGGGCAGAGGGAGAGAATCTTCAGCAGACAACCCGCTGAGCCAGGAACCCAACACAGGGCTTGATCCCAAGACTCTGAGATCATGATTCCGAGATCATGACTTGAGCTGAAACCAAGAGTCTAGAGGCCCAATGAACTGAGCCACCCAGGCGCCTCTGGCAGTTTCTTGAAAAATTAAACACTTATACGACCCAGCTATTCTACTCCTAGATATTATCCAAGATAAATGAAAACAACCCACATAAGGACTTGCATATGAATGCCATAGCAGCTTTATTTATAGTAGTCCCAAAGTGGAAACAACCCAAATGTCCATCCACAGGTGAATGGATAAACAAAATGAGATATTCAAATGATGGTATATTTTTTAGCAAAAAAAAGGGAACAGACTAGTGATACACACTACAATGTGGATAACTCTCAAAATCATTATGCTGAAAGAAGCTAGACAAAAAGGATACTTCCTGTATTATTCCAATTATATAACATTCTAGAAATGCAAATTATAGTGTTAGGAAGCAGATTGGTTGGTTGTTGCCTAGAGTGAGGGAGAGATGGACTGCAAATAGGCACTTGGAAACTTCTGATAAAAACGTGATGTGATAAAAATGTTCTGTATCTTAATTGTGGTGGTTCACAGGTGTGTGCATCTGTCCCACTGATTAAACTGTACACTATAAAAGAAGATAGTTATTGCACATAAATTACACCTCAATAAAATTAAGAACAAGAATTAAATGAAAGACGCAACAGAGACATGAATCTAGACACTTGGAGAGAAAGTAATGTTGATGCTGAGTACAGGTTATTTTGAACAGAATTTACAATATAACACCATTCCCATCTTGTGCATTAGCTAAAAAAGAAATAGAGCTACCTGAAACATTTCGGTATTTCATTTCCAAGGTGATGATCAGGTTGCTTTTAATAGAAAAAAGAGATCATTTATCCTAAAAAATTACTAAGATGTTGAACATTTCCTCCATTTATTAGCTGTTTACATGGCTCATCACATGGCCTGGGAGCTCCTCAGAGACAAGGACTGTATCTTTTCTTTCTCTACCCTCAGCCTAGCACAGTTTGATATTTACTAAATGGAATCTTATTAAAATTGAAGTGAAAGGTCTTAATTCGTTCTCATAACCCCTTGGAGACTTGAACATTATTACTTCTTACTAATGAACACAAGACGCAAAGCTTGAGTAATTTGCAGTCACAAAACTAAATGGCAGAAGTAGGACTATAATCCAGGCCTTCTGATTCTAACGCATAGATTTACTGAAATTGTCCTCTGTCCCCTCCAGGGATGTCTGCCTGGGCCCTATCTTCCTCAAGATATCAACTGAATATTTTAAATGAACTTAAAGTTAGCTAAGGTCAACCTCCGCTGGGCGCATGCGTCCCTTCCTTTTCCCACGGTGTAAGAGACACCACCTAGCTTCCTTCCGCCTTGACGCCTTTTGGCCCCAGCGACTCGCCGTTGCCCAGGCTGCGGCGTTCACTAGTTGAGGTGATGGCGACTGGGACACCAGATTCGCAAGCGCGATTCGGTCAGTCTGTGAAGGGGCTCCTCACAGAGAAGGTGAACACCTGTGGTACGGACGTGATCGCGCTCACCAAGCAGGTGCTGAAAGGCTCCCGGAGCTCCGAGGTGAGCTGGGAGTGGACTTTATGGCCCGATATCCCGGGGCCCCGAGTCTTCCATAGCTGTGAGAAGGGGATCGCATTACCTTCTGGGAATTGTAGGCTGTGAACTGCTCCCTGAGAATAGAGCTCGTTCGCGAGGGGCGCGTGTTGCATTCTGGGATGTGTAGTCTCTGGGGGATTAGCGATATGGCGGGGAACGGGATTGTGGGAATCTGTGCTTTAAAGCAGAGATTGCTGCAGGACAGCGGATAAGATAGTGGTCCTAGCCAGTTCATAATTTGTTTCATGGGGTTCCCTCTTTCTGGCCCCCAAATTCCGCATGGTTTTGCCCTCAACATCCCAGATTCCTTTCACACTTTTGTGCATCGTCTGTGGATTTGTTCTTTTCTGATTTGTCATTCTGGCCACATCTTGGTTTTCTGTTTATTAGATTAGCTTTCTCCTTTGCCCCGATTTCCCCTTCATCCTCTAGCTGGTTCCGTGAATGGAGTTATGATGGCTTTTCACACCAGAAAGTTTTATGTATGTACGCTGTCTCCAAAAAAAGTCGTATTTATTGTACTCTTAGATATTTACCCACGAGAAATGAAAATATATGTCCACACAAAGACTTGTACATGTGCATAACCCCATTATCCGTGATAGGGTCAAACTGGAAACAACCCAAATGTCCGTTGACCAATGAATGGACAAACAAAATGGTTCTGGTGACTGAGCCATTCCACTCCTAGGTTTTTACCCAAGAGAAATGATAACATGCCTCTCATTTTGTTACATAAGCTGACCACACACATATTATCTAAGAGTTTCTGTTTTGGTTTCTTTAAAGTGGAACAACATCTTGAATACACCTGAGAAACAATCTGAGTACAAAGTCTTTTTAGATCTTTGTGAATTTTTTCTCTAGAACTTGATCATTATCTTGCTCATAATTAACTCAATGGCAGTGTGACTTAGTTGCTCATCTTCAACAAGTATTGCTTATTTTCAACTTAGTTTTCATAATAATAGCAACTCTCTCTTTTAACTCATATTTCATCAGTCTCTATATTATTTCATTAAGTTATGTAATTGCAGTAACAAGCATAACATGGCCACAAGCTTTTGGACTTGTATATGAATATTCATAGCAGCTTCATTCAGATTAGTTTAGGATCCAGTAGAATTGTCTTTACAGAGTCATCTTTCATGTTATGTCCTTAGCTTGTATTGGTAGTGACTACAAGAAATAACCATATGAAGAAGGTGTTTGCATTTACCATAACACTATTGTTGAAGTCACTGATTTGGTGATCCCAAGTATGTTTTGTGTGAGGCCACACATGATATACTCATTTTAGGATTCAGTATCAGAGGAAAGTTCTTCTCTTTTTGAGGAATTGTCATGTTGCCTTTTACCAAATAAGAATTATGCAAATACCCTGAAACAAATAATTTATTATATGTTAATAAAAATAAGAATTATGCAAATGAGGGGCACCTGGGTGGCTCAGTCAGTTAAGCGTCTGCCTTCCACTCAGGTCATGATGCTGGAGTTGTGGGATTGAGTCCCCTTTAGGGCTTCTTGCTCAGCGGGGAGCCTGCTTCTCCCTCTGCCTGCCACTCCTCCTGCCTGTGCACACACGCCCTCTCTGACAAATAAATAAATAAAATCTTTTAAAAAAAGAATTATGCAAATGCAAGTGTTTCACTTTTTGCCTTGGTTGCACAGAAGTTCTTACATCAGTTTTAGTGGTAGACACATTTATTTCCTTCTCCTTTTAATGACTTCTAGATTCTGTTTCTATTTTTCAAAAAAAAAAAGTGTGTGTGTGTATACACACACATGCATATAGTATGGTATAAATTGCCTTCAATCTTTTTGGAGGAGAAACAAGGTATAAATATATAAATTTTAAAAAATAGTGTTCATAGTTAACCACCAGTATGTATTGAACACCATATTTGTTATAATAAACTTACTTTTGTTGAGCATCTATGTGCTGGACACTGCTGTGTTTTATGTAGCTTAATTTGTTAAATCTTTGCACTTACTAACAGAGGAGGTATGTTTCTTACATAGAAGATACAAAGAGGAATTTAATTTTTCCAAGGTTACAATGTAGCAAGGAAGGGGTAGAACTAGGATTCCAACCTAGGCAGACTGGTTCTAGGCTCATAATCTTGGGCACCACCTCTCATATGATACTAACTGATTTAGTGACCCAAAAGCCATGGTGTCACCATTGACTGCCCTGATGTCACTTGCTCCTTTCTCTTCCTCCTTGTGTATTTTTCACACGAGATTCTTCTGGAGTAGATTTAGATTGGGTGTTCAGTAAATGGTGTGGATTGAGTTAAACTGAAATTGTTCCAACTTTCTGGGAGGGTTGACACATCATCTCTCAGTTCTCTGACTTTTGTCTTTTTATTGGATCTCTTACATGATACTTATCACATACCATATTGACTTTTCCTGTAGTTACTTATGTATTTTTGCCATTTCCTTTACTAGACTTTAGATTATTTGGAGTGTCTTTTTGATTTTCTTTTTTTTTTGTCTTTTTTTTTTTTGGTAGCATGTATCAGTACTGTACTTTATTCCTTTTTAAGACTGAATAATATTCCATTGTATGTATATACGACGTTTTTTTTATCCATTCATTTGGTGATGGAGATTTGTGCTGTTTCCACCTTTTGGCTTTGTGAATATGCTGCAGTAGACGTTTGTATATAAATACCTATTTGAGACCCTGCTTCCAGTTATTTTGGGCAATTGCTGAATTGCAATTGCAGTAATTCTATGTTTAATTTTTTGAGGAACCACTGTACTGTTTAGCACAATGGGTGTACCATTTTACGTTGCCAGCAAATGCACCAGCGTCCCAGATACTTCACACCAGGGACAACATTTGTCATTTTCCATTTTTAATCATAGCCATCCTGATAGGTATAAACTGGTACCCCCCAGTGGTTTTGATTTGCATTTCCCCAAACTAGTGATGTTGAGCATTGTTCTTGTTCTTATTGGCCATTTGTATATCTTTGGAGAAATGTCTGTGAAGGTCCATTGTCCATTTCCAAATTGGACTTTTTGTTGTTGAGTTGTAGGAGTTCTTCACATATTCTGAATGTTAATCTCTTATCAGATATTCTTTGCACATATTTTCTCCCATTCTGTGAGTTTCCCTTTCATTTTCTTGATAGTATCCTGAGCTCAGAGAGCTGAATTTCCTAGAGAAAAAATGTCTCAAGTGTTTACGGTTTATTTCACACAACAATGTCTGCTTCTGGTTTTTTGGGGTCTAGTGGCAATTGTCTTGTCCAGGAGGGTATACCTTCTTTCTATTCCTTAGACTTTCTGCTCCAGCTTTTTAAAAAAATTTATTTATTTGGGGGGCGGCAGAGGGAGAGGGAGAAGCAGGCTCCCCACCTGAGCGGGGAGCCCGACATGGGGCTTGATCCAGGACCCCAGGATCATAATCTGAGGTGAAGGCAGACACTCAACAGGCTGAGCCACCCAGGTGTCCCAAGCTTTTCTTTTTTTCTTTTATTTATTTATTTATTTATTTATTTTTAATTCGATTTGATTTTATTATGTTCTGTTAGTCACCATACAATACATCATTAGTTTTTGATGTAGTGATCCACGATTCATTGTTTTCGTATAACACCCAGTGCTCCATGCAGTACGTGCCCTCCTTAATTCCCATCACCCGGCTAACCCGTCCTTCTACCCCCCTCCCCTCTAAAACCCTCAGTTTGTTTCTCAGAGTCCATAGTCTCTCATGGTTCATCTCCCCCTCCGATTTCCCCCCCTTCATTTTTCCCTTCCTTCTCCTAATGTCCTCCATGCTATTCCTTATGTTCCACAAATAAGTGAAACCCTATGATAATTGACTTTCTCTGCTTGACTTATTTCACTTAGTATAATTTCCTCCAGTCCCTTCCATGTTGATGTAAAAGTTGGGTATTCATCCTTTCTGATGGCTGAGTAATATTCCATTGTATATATGGACCACATCTTCTTTACCCATTCATCTGTTGAAGGGCATCTCGGCTCTTTCCATAGTTTGGCTATTGCGGACATTGCTGCTATGAACATTGGGGAGCGTATGGCCCTTCTTTTCACTACATCTGTGTCTTTGGGGTAAATACCCAGTAGTGCAATTGCTGGATCATAGGGTAGCTCTATTTTTAATTTTTTGAGGAACCTCCACACTGTTTTCCGCAGTGGCTGTACCAACTTACATTCCCACCAACAGTGTAAGAGGGTTCCCCTTTCTCCACAACCTTTCCAACATTTGTTGTTTCTTGCCTTGTCAGTCTTTGCCATTCTAACTGGTGTAAGGTGGTATCTCAATGTGGTTTTGATTTGAATTTCCATGATGGCGAATGATGATGAAAATTTTTCAATGACATTTTTCAAAGTGCTGGAACAAACAATCCTAAAATTTGTATGGGATCAGAAAAGACCCCAAATCGCCAAGGAAATGTTGAAAAAGAAAAACAAAGTTGGGGGCATCACGTTGCCCGATTTCAAGCTATATTACAAAGAAGTGATCACCAAGACAGCATGGTACTGGCACAAAAACAGACATATAGACCAATGGAACAGAACAGAGAGCCCATATATGGACCCTCAACTCTATGGTCAAATAATCTTTGATCAAGCTTTTCTTTTTTTAAAGATTTTATTTATTTATTTGTCAGAGAGAGAGAGCGCGCGCATATGCACAAGGAGGGGGAGCAGCAGGCAGAGGGGGAAGCAGGCTCCCACTGAGCAGGGAGTAACCTGGGGCTTGATTCCAGGACCCTGGGATCATGACCCGAGCCGAAGGCAGACACTTAACCAACTGAGCCACTCAGGCTTCCTCTTCTCCAGCTTTTTGAGTTGTTATTGGTGTGACCCAAATTGTCCCAAAGCCACAGGGTACCTCCCTCGGGTTAGTCCAATGAGTCTTGGTCTCATTGTGGACAGGGAGCCTGATTTTTAGTTTGAATCCTTCTTAGTCTGTAGAATATTGCTTCTCTTTTCACCAGTCCCCATGTGGCTGTTTTGTTTGATTAGCTGACAATTTCCATGTGTAAAGCTCCCCTTCCATGGCATTCATTTAACAAATATTTATTGTCTGCTATGTGCCATGAACTATTCTAGGTATAAGGGAGAGGGTGGTATACAAAACTAGGTCCCTGTACTTAGGAAGCTTACATTTTAGTGAAAAGATGGACAAACAAATGAAACAAAAAATCAGGTGGTAGTAAATATCATGAAGAAAAACTAAGCTGGGAGTAGAGAGTGATGAAAGGGTTTTCCTTAAATAGGGCGGCCAGGGAAGGGCCCTCTAAGGAGGGGACATTGAGGCAGACACTTGAATGAAGTGAGGTAGCAGGCCACATGGACGTCTGGAGGCAGAACGTTCCAAGTAGAAGAAATGGCAAAAGCAAAGGCCTTGAGATGGGAATGTGTGCAGGGTGTGCGAAGAGGCCAGTATGGCTGAAGCACCAAGTGGGGAAGAGCATGCCAACCTTGTGCCCACAGCACAATGAATGCGTGTGACCCCCATGCTCCTCCAATCGAGTTGTGTGCTGAGTAAAGGGTCTGTTGTGTGTGGGTTGGTTTGTTTTGTTTTGTTTTTTAGGGTCCATTGTGTTTTACCTTACACCTGTGTTTATGCTTGCTATTTTAACTACATTACTTAATGCAATAATATGGAAAATGATGAACTAGAATGAAAACACAAAGAGGGTTGGTATTGCTATGAAAACGAAGTTGAAAAATCTTGTTGAAGATGAGGAGCTAACAAATGACGACGTAGTAACAGTACCTGTTGAAGATGAGGAGCTAAGATTGCTATTGACTTACTTATGAGCAAAGCAATAGTAAAAGCCTGGGGGGAAATACTCAAGATGTTGTTCCGCTTTAAAGAAACCCAACCCAGACATCTTAGATGATATGTGATGTGCGTGGTTGGTTTATGCAAGAAAATGATGCAGAATGCCAATGGATACATCTGTCATCAAAGCAAGGCCTTGGCCCAGCATTGCAACAGCTCCTGCATTCCAGAAATCACGAGTCTCCTTGAGTCTATCTTTGAAATGATCACCCACCCCCACCCCCCTTTCTAACGGCCACTCCTGTGGCTCAGGCCACTTTCATTGCTTGCCTAGACTATGGCAGTGTTCTCCCAACCAGTCTCTGCCTTCAGTCCCTGCTCCAGTCCATTCTGCTTGCCACACTTCTAAAACAGTAAATCTGATCATGCCCAATCTTTAGGTCTCTGCTAGAAGTCACTTCTTTTCAAGGAAGCCCTCCCTGAACACCTGCCCCTGTAATGGGGCAGACACCCAACTCTCCATGCTGCCCGGTCATCTGGTGCTTCACCATCGGCAGTTACCACAAGGATTGCAGTGCCTGTGTCCTCTTTGTAACACCAGATTGTGAGCCCTGTGAAGACAGGGGCTATGTCTCTTCCTGGCATACTGTCAAGCGCTGAATAAATATTTGTTGACTGAATAAATGAATGAGGAAGATTCTTTTAGAACCTTTTCTTTCTTCCATCAGTTTGTCAGTCACCATCTCCCATCTATAGGACTTCAGAGTTTGCCACTTAAAAGTGGCCACAAGGAGGAAACAGGCACTCGAATACATTGTGGGTGGGAATGTGGAATGGTATAACCCCAGTAAGACCCTCCCATCCAGCAATCATAGTCATAATTCTATGAGTCTATACCAAAGATATGCTAGCAAAAAGACACAAAGATATATAAGGTATTTTTTGTAGCACTACTTCTAATAGCAAAGACTGCAAATAGCCCCAAAGTCTGGTTGAATTATCTTACAGGGACATCTATACAGCACAGTGCTCTGCAGCCATAAGAGAGCAATGTGCAGATTCAGTATAAACTACTGCAGTCTATCTCAGCATATCTTGTCAAGTGAAAATAGCAGCGTGTGGTGTGGAAGAGTGCAGGTAGTAGCTTACATTTTAAGTAGGGGGGGCAGATTATATACGTATGGCCACTTTTAAAAAGACACAATGGAAAGGTAAGTTATTTATTTATTTATTTATTTATTTTTAATTTTTTTTTAAAGATTCTATTTATTTATTTGAGAGAGAGAGAATGAGAGACGGAGAGCACGAGAAGGAAGAGGGCAGAGGGAGAAGCAGAACCCCTGCTGAGCAGGGAGCCCGATGCGGGACTTGATCCCGGGACTCCAGGATCATGACCTGAGCCGAAGGCAGTCGCTTAACCAACTGAGCCACCCAGGCGCCCTATTTATTTATTTTTAATTACGTAGGCTCCACGCCCAACGTGGGGCTTGAACTCAAGACCCTGAGATCAAGAGTCACATGCTCTACCGCCTGAGCCAGTCAGGTGCCTCTAAAAAAATATTTATGCATAGGGGAGAGAGAATGGGGAAGGGAAGGGACAGGGATGGAGGGTCTTATTTTACTGTCTCAACATTAGAAGTACGTAAAGGTTTATAAACGAAAATAAATAAACAACAGTTGCCGCAGGGGAGATTATCTGGGGGCTGTAGCAGTGACGCGGTATTCCTGTTAAATATGAGGTCATCGGTCCCCTTTTCATCAGAATCTCTCTGACCCAAGGGAACAGGGACAAGGGGTAGGACACACAGTAACTCCCCTTCCAAGGTTGGACTTTACTGTCTGCCAGGAGCCGGGTGTGACCGTAGGCTGGAAACCTCTCTCGATCTCCTCTTGCCTCCTGACTCTGCGGTTCCGGAGCCCTTGATTTCTCAAACAGTAGCCTTTGGAGCAGATGTTGAGCCCATGCCAGCACCACACAGTGACACTGAATTTGGATTTTCAACATGAACAAATCAAAGATTATCCTCTGTTAAATTTGGAGCATTTGTGGTTATAAGGGGGGAGGGGAGGAGAGAGGGTGGGGGTATAACAGCTGCGGAGAGATGACAGGAAGTTTGCAGAGTTTGATCATTACCACTTTATTTTTGTCTTCCAGCTGCTAGGTCAGGCAGCTCGAAACATGGTCCTGCAGGAAGATGCCATCTTGCACTCAGAAGATGTAAGAAACAATCTCTTTTGTGATTTGGGTTTTATTTACATAATTTGTGTGGCTACAGGGAAGTGGAATGTTCGCTATTTTTGTTTTTTTTTTCATTTTGTTTTGTTTTAATGCAGAGTCTAAGGAAAATGGCGATAATAACAACACACCTTCAGTACCAGTGAGTATGCCTTGCACAGTGCCGGCTTGCTGCAAAGTCACATCCCGCAGGCTGCGCCCTCTTGCCTTTGTGCTTCAGCACGCTTTCCTGTGAAGGCAGGAGTTGGGAGTAAAGGTGGGGTTAGTCAAGAAGGAGCTCCTTCTGGAAAAGATGGTGGTGACTGCAGAAGCTGGAGCATGGGTGAGATCAAGAGCAGGGACTGCCTTTTGTGAGCTTCTCTGTGTTCATTTGGGGGCTCCTTCGAGGGAGAGACTATGAACCCCAGGAGGGCAGGGCCCATGCCAGGACCATGCTCGCACAGTGCTCAGCACTGAGTAGACACTTAATCAATATTTGTCGACGACCTGTGCCCAAGGTCTCTCCTGGGGAGTCTGCGCTTTCACTAGGGAATCAAGTGTAACTGTGACCTGTGTCCTCTAGTTCCCCCATTTAACCCAGCCCTAGCTACGTAGAAATGACCCAGGAGATTCTGAGATATAGAGAACCCTTTCTCTGTTATAATTTTGGATACAATTATAATTAGCTTTTCATTGTATTTCATTTTGCTTTATATTTTATATAGTTGATGTTACTTATGTACCTATTGGAAATGTATGATTGAGAATTTAACGCTTGATATTTAAACAGCTTAATGTTCATTCTTGGGGTGTGTGCATATCAGGTGTGTGACCATTAGATTCCACATACCCAGGCTGAATGTGAGCCATGCATATAGTTTGTGGTACTGCGTCCCTCAGTCTGATAGAGTATCATTAGTTCTTCAGGTTTAGAGTCCATCTTCTTAGCAACTCTGCACTCAGATAGTGAACAGAGCTTCAAGAGCACAGTCTTAAGCTAGAATGGACAGAAATACAGAATGTGACATAAGCCGGAAATTTGTTCTGCCTACAAATATCTAACCATAAATTGCACTAGTTTTCTGAGATTTTTTATCTTTATTTTCCTCTTTCCCTTTCTGATTTAGGCAAGAAGCTATTCAGAAGAAGTAAGTAACCCCAAACGTAGGGGAGTCGGGGAACCAACTGAAGCAGGCTACAGGGAATTGTACTTCTGGGCCTAGAATCAGTGTGAAACTCTAGCTGATATATGCCCTTAAATTGACATATATTCTGCTCATTTGGGTTATAAAGAAAACAGTACAGTTGACCCTTGGACAATACAAGTTTGAACTACACCGTTCCACTTATACACAGATTTTTTTTTATAAATACAGTATAGTATTGCAAATGTATTTTCTCTTCCTTATGATTTTCTTAATATTTTTTCCTCTAGCTTACTTTATTGTAAGAGTGTAGTATATAATACATATAACATACAAAATACATAAATATGTGTGAATTGACTGTTTCTGTTACCAGTAAGGCTTCTGGTCAACAATAGGCTATTAGTAGTTAAGTTTTGGGGGAGTCAGGTTATACACAGGTTTTGACTGTGTGGGGTGTCAGCGCCTGTAACCTCCGTGTTGTACAAGGGTCAACTGTATATTTCAAAGGCATGCAGTAAGTTAATTCACTGCTAGTAAAGGCTTTCTAAAAATTACACGGTGTAGATGCCAAACTTAAGGAACAGAAAAACCTTACATGTTGGTAATATTCATTAAGCAAATGTGCTAAAGTCATTAAGCAGTCTTGTTTTTTTGAGTGGATTAAATCTGTCCCTTACAATATGGGTTACACTAATTGGCTTTACAAACCTTTTTTTCATAGTTTAAACTTCTGGAACTGTAGTGGACCAATATAAATTTTGATTTAGTTTCAGCAGTATTTATGCATTAAAGTACAAATTGTACAAAGAGATTTTTATTACTCATGCCAGATAAACTTTTTCTCTGTTCTAATTTCTAGTGTTGAGCAGTCTTCTGATCTACAGGACCAGTTGAATCATCTGTTGAAATAGAGCAGCTTGTAAGAGGGAAAAGCACTTCTTTGTCTGACACTGAGAAGGAAATATTTTATTCAGCTACTGTCCTATGGGTTTGATTTTCCATTTTCTTCTCCAAAAGTTAAGTTAGAAAAGATTTATGATGGTGTGCAGTTTCTCCTGAAGAGAAGCTAGGTGGTTGAATTTTGGAAGTACTTCTTGAAGCAGACTAACCCATGCTCTTACTGAAATTTTAAATGTTCTGTTTAGTTTAATGTTAAAGCAAAATTAAAGAGGTCGTAGTTTTTTCCATAGAACTTTTATATATGTCAAGAGCTGTTATCATCTAACTGTGATTCTTAAGCAAATGCTGAATAATGTTTTAAATTCAGAAATACGGCTTCTATTGTGAAAGCAGGAATGATTAATATTCTTTTTAAAGACTTTTTTTCTTTTAATCATACATTCAGGAAATTTCATGGTCGCAGAATGGTGATAGGTAATATCTGTTCTTTTCTATTAACTCAGAGGAGATACTTATTTTATTCATTGTAGCAAATTCCTAAATGAAAATTAGGCAAATGGTATCATATCTGGCCTGCTGCAACCTCCTGCCTTGACCTGCATTCCTAGTTTCTTTGTTGTGACTCTTGATTAGTTGGCCTTGGGTTCATTTTGTAATTTTGCTAGTCATCAGCAGATTCACTTGTAGAACATTATTGCCAAATGCAAAGGCAGTTGAATTACCGGGAATGATTGCAGTGTAGGGTTGTGCCATGGTGAAAACCTTATTTTTTCAGTTATTTGCCCATGTTCATTTAATTCATCTTGCTAAAAGACATTACCTTTGAATGTCTTTGTTTGAATTTTAAATGGGACTCCATTGTGTTCTAGTTCATTTCTTATCACTAAAGAATTAGGAGAAAGCTGACATAAGAAAATGGTGTTTTCAGTGAAAGAAAAAAGCAAGTAAGAGTCCAATTTAATTCATATTGTATATCATCAAGTCGACTAATCATATTAGATTGTATTTATCCCTCATTATGCCTATACACATTAACTTAAGGTAAAAGAAAAAACTAGGTATGAAGGAATTCAGTTATGCATTCCTTTTATAAACTCTCATTACACTTATTAAATGTAAATGGGCTCAATTCACCTTCAAAAAGAAGGGTCTGGAAACTTCTGGAACTGTAGTGGACCCATATTGACAGCAAATGTTAGCAAATTGACAGCAAATGTTAGCAAACGTTACTATCACTGTTGCTATTCAGCATTTTGCTGGAGGCCATGTCTAGTGCAGAAGTTAAAAATAAATATAGCTAATGGGGCGCCTGGGTGACTCAGTCAGTTAAGCATCTGCCTTCGGCACCGGTCACGATCCCAGGGTCTTGGGATTGAGCCCTGTGTCAGGCTCCCTGCTCAGTGGGGAGCCTCCTTCTCCCTCTCCCTCTGTTTGTGGCTCCCCCTGCTTGTGCTCTCTCTCTCTCTGTCAAATGAATAAATAAATAAAATCTTAAAAAAAATAAGTATAGCTATTAGCAACAAAGAGACAAAATTATTATCATATTGTAGGATTATCTGCTTAGAAAATCCAAGGACTGATTTTTTTTAAAAGGCCCATCAATTTAGAAAACAAAAAGTTCGCCTTCGGCTCAGGTCATGATCCCAGGGTCCTGGGATCGAGTCCCGCATCGGGCTCCCTGCTCAGCAGGGAGTCTGCTTCTCCCTCTGACCCTCCCCCCGCTCATGCTCTCTCTCTATCTCATTCTCTCGCAAAATAAATAAATAAAATCTTTAAAAAAAAAAAAAAGAGGGGCGCCTGGGTGGCTCAGTCGTTAAGCGTCTGCCTTCGGCTCAGGTCGTGATCCCGGGGTCCTGGGATCGAGCCCCGCGTCGGGCTCCCTGCTCCGCGGGAAGCCTGCTTCTCCCTCTCACACTCCCCTTGCTTGTGTTCCCTCTCTCACTGCCTCTCTCTCTGTCAAATAAATAAATAAAATCTTTAAAAAAAAAAAAAAAGAAAACAAAAAGTTCAGTCATCCAAGTATACAAGATGCAAAGAAATACCTAACATGACATTTGTAAAAAATTAAAAATTAAAATAAAGGTGTGGTCTAAGTTTTCCTCATCATGCTGGAACAAATATTAAAGTAGCAGTGATTGCTTACATTATAACTGATAAAACAAATTTCACCACAAAATTTTAATGGTAAATATAAAATTTATATTAAATAATGAAAGCCTAGTAGTACTAAATTTAGTCATTTTAAAGAATAGAATGCCAAAAAACATGGAAGAAAAGTAGCCAGAAATGTATGAATAGTAAGAAATGTATACATAATTTTTATTTTATTTTATTTTATTTATTTATTTGACAGAGAGAGACACAGCGAGAGAGGGAACACAAGCAGGGGGAGTGGGAGAGGGAGAAGCAGGCTTCCCTCAGAGCAGGGAGCCCGATGCGGGGCTCGATCCCAGGACGCTGGGATCATGACCTGAGCCGAAGGCAGACGCTTAACAACTGAGCCACCCAGGCGCCCAGAAATGTATACATAATTTGATACTATATCTCTTGTAGAAATAAATGGACTAGGTAGAATTAAATGGTGATCAAATATATGGAAATAAAAAATACTTCTTTAAATAAGATCTGGGTTGTAGAGAATATGTTGAAGGATAATATTTTTAAAATAGTGAAAATTCAAATTCTGTGCAAGAAAATTTATGTGATAATACAGCAGTATTTTAAAGCAGTACTGTAAGCAGTATTATAAAGAAAAAAAATGGTGCTTTAAATCTCTATAGGGAAAAGGGTGTTTTCTTTTTTTAAGGGGTTTGTGGTTAGAACTTAGGGAAGAAATCAAAATAGAATAAGAAAGCCAAGCATGAATGATAAAAATTTGAAAAAATATGTGATATCATTAATTGGTTCTTACAGATTGAATTGTTGAAGTATTGGGTCACTTGGCTGCCTCAGTCGGTGAAGCATGTGACTCTTGATCTTGGGGTTGTAAGTTCAAGTCCCATGTTGGGTGTGGAGATTACTTAAAAATAAAATCTTTTTTTTTTTTTTAAAGATTTTTATTTATTTATTCATTAGAGACAGAGAGAGAGAGAGAGAGAAGCAGAGGGAGAAGCAGGCTCCCAAGGAGCAGGGAGCCCGATGTGGGACTCGATCCCAGGACCCTGGGATCATGACCTGAGCCGAAGGCAGACGCTTAACCATATGAGCCACCCAGGCGCCCACTTAAAAATAAAATCTTAAAAAAGAAATTAAATTGGTAAAGTGTCAGCTCAATCTAAAAGTACAAATTAGTAAATTTATAATTGAAATGGAGATAATCACTTAGATTTTAAAAGCATGATCTGTCAGCTTGATTCTAAAAATTTAATTACTAGTATCAAAATGTCCGCCTCCTTTGAAGATATAATATCACAAAACTGATATTTAAAAGGGAATATGTCCAGGGGGACCTGGCTGGCTCAGTTGGAAGAGCATGCAACTCTTGATCTTGGGGTTGTGAGTTTGAGCCCCATGTTGGGCCTAGAGCTTACTTAAAAAAAAAAAAAAAAAGTCATTTGCTTGTGATAGCTTTCCTGAGAATTTTCCAAACTGTCAAAGAACTTCCATATACTCCCAAAGTATAGAAAACAATGGTAAGATACCCAGTTCATTTGCTGAAGTAATATGACTTTCATTTTTATTTTTATTTATTTAAAGATTTTATTTTTAAGTAATCACTACACCCAATATGGGGCTCAAACTTACAACCCCGAGGTTAAGAGTTACATGCTCTACTGACTGGGCCAGCCAGGTGCACCTATGACTTTCATTTTTTTTTTTTTGAATATTTATTTATTCATTTGAGAGCAAGAGAGTGCGATAGCACATGCTGAGAGTGAGTTGGGGGGAGGGACAGAGGGAGAAGCAGACTCCTTGCTGAGCAGGGAGCGCACTCAATCCCAGGATCCTGAGATCATGACCTGAGCCAAAGGTAGATGCTTAGCCAACTGAGCCACCCAGGTGCCCCATTTAAAAATTTTTTTAAGATTTTATTTATCATTTTTAAAAATTAAAAGCAAAATAACATAAGAAAATTTAGGAGATTCTTATTCATTAACATAGATGAAAAATCCTAATAAAATCTCAGAAAAATTAAATAGAGAAATATTTTTGAAGAATTGCTAAAATAATTCCAGAATTGCAAAGTTGATGTAACAGCTGCAAAACACATTACATTAATAAGAAACATTAAATCATGTATCACTGTAACATACACCAAAAAGATATTTGAAAAAATTAACTTCTATTTCTAATTAAAACTAAAAAAAAAAAAAAGAAGAAAAAAATTTTCTTTCTGAAGAGTTCTTTCTAAAGAACCAATATAGAATATTTGGTGAAGAAGAAAGAATCATAGAATCCCAGAATCTTAGCTCTGTATCGGGCCTCAAAAGTGACTGAATTCTGGCCCCATGTTGTACAGATGAGAAAACATAGTGAGGGACATGACATAACTTACCCAAAGTTACTGAGTTTGGTGATAGGTCTTTTGAGTACTAGTCTATTATCTGTTACTTTCCTTATAAATAGAAACATGGGTGCTACTTGTCATTTCTAGTATTTAATGCAATACAAAAGAAAGGATCTTGGAAGTAACTGAATCCAATCTATTTACCCCTGCCACTGCATCTCTAGCAAGTAGACATCTAGCTGGTCATCTGGCTTCTGCTTGAATACTTCCAGTTTTGGGGAATCCTTTACTTAGAGATGCTGGCCATTTTGGAAAGCTCTACTTCTTTAAAGATTGTCTGTGTACTGAACCACAATCTGCCTTTCTGGACCATTCTGTAATTGTTGCTTCCAAGGTGGGATATGTGGAGGTATGCACAAGGCCCTCCTTGGAGGTAAGGGAAGAAAATAATGAAAATTTCTATGTATGTTTACTTAGCTTTTGCTAATATTTAAAATATGACTTGATATGAGAGCTCTAATTTGGTCTGCATAGCATATTGATCTACACAGCATGCCTGTCATTTAGCAGGGGTGATCTTAAAAACACAAAAACCCCTGTGGCTGGTGCACTGACCAATCAGAATGAATGATGGCTACAAGCAGTCTGGCCCAGATTCAGCTCTGTACACTAGATACCTGATGGAAAACTGGGAATCACTCAATTAAATTAGCTGATGGTGGTTTGCTTTATTGTGGTCTATCCATGTGTGGTTATGTGGATTTTAGGTTTATCAAATGATTCTTGTGAATACCCACAAATTGAAGATAATATATTAAAGCAAGTATACTGAACAAGTGGAAAACAGTAAAGCCCTTTCCTTAACTCCCATTAATCTGTGCCTTCAAGATAAAGATAGCATTTTAACAATGAGTGAGAAAGTGACTGCTTTCCTAAAGGAACTAATTTATGGAGACAGGATTTTGAAAACTAATATTTAAGAGTTTTTTTGCCATTATACAATTGCCAAGAAACTGATAGCTATAGAAACACACATTTTTACACACTTAATAGTTGGAAATATTCTAAGCTATAAAAATATTCCAACAAGGATTGTTTTCGTGGGTTTAACTTGTTAAAAGTATTAAAATATAACACCTTCCTATTAATATATATATATATTTTAAAGATTTTATTTATTTGACAGAGAGAGACACAGCGAGAGAGGGAACACAAGCAGGGGGAATGGGAGAGGGAGAAGCAGGCTTCCCGCGGAGCAGGGAGCCCGACGTGGGGCTCGATCCCAGGACCCTGGGATCACGACCTGAGCCGAAGGCAGACGCTTAACGACTGACCCACCCAGGCACCCCCTTTCCTATTAATATTTAACAATTAATTGACATCAGGGAAGACTGTTATCAGCAGATGAGATTGAAAAATGAGTGTAATGTAGTAAATGTCCCATTTAGATATCCGTATCTCCTTGCTATCTAATGAATAGAAATGCTTGTTACAACCACAGAAGGAAATAAGATAGACAAATACAGTGAACCCTTATACAACATGGGGGTTGAGGTACTGACATGTGCACAGTTGAAAATCTGTGTATAACTTTTGAGTCCCCAAAAACTTAGCTACTAATAGCCTATTATTGACTGGAAGCTTTATCAATAACATAAGCAGTCAATAAATACATATTTTGTATGTTATATGTATTATATACTGTATTTACAGTAAAGTAAGCTGGAGAAAAAACAAAATGTTATTAAGAAGATTGCAAGGGAAAGAAAATATATTTATAGTACTGTACTTACTGAAAAAAATCTGCAAAGAAGTGGACCGTGCCGTTCAAACCCATGGTTTTCAATATAAGGGTGGAAGAAAAAATTTTCTGCAGGATGAAATGACAATACTTAGGAAACACAAGTGAATTGACTAGAAATTTCTAGAGGTTAAAAATGAATTGGGCGCCTGGGTTGCTCAGTTGGTTAAGCGACTGCCTTCGGCTCAGGTCATGGTCCCGGGGTCCTGGGATCGAGTCCCACATCGGGCTCCCTGCTCTGCGGGAAGCCTGCTTCTCCCTCTCCCACTCCCCCTGCTTGTGTTCCCTCTCTCGCTGTGTCTCTCTCTGTCAAATAAATAAATAAAATCTTTAAAAAAAAAAAAATGAATTTAGCAGGGCGCCTGGGTGGCTCAGTTGGTTAAGCGACTGCCTTCGGCTCAGGTCATGATCCTGGAGTCCCTGGATCGAGTCCCGCATCGGGCTCCCTGCTCGGCAGGGAGTCTGCTTCTCCCTCTGATCCTCCCCCCTCCCATGCTCTCTCTCTCTGTCTCATTCTCTCTCTCAAATAAATAAATAAAATCTTAAAAAAAAAATGAATTTAGCAGAGTTGCTTTACTAAATATAATTCAAAACAGACTGAGACCTGCTACATGCATACAGTATGATTCCATGGCATTCTGGATAAGGAGGGAGAATAGATTGGTGGTTGTTTAGGAGCTGGTGGGGGAGGGGAAGGTGATTTACTACAAAGGGGCACAAAGAAACTTCAGCATGAGAGAGTCTCTATTGTCATGTATTCGTTTGTCAGAATTCACAGTACTGTACACTAAAGTTGGATTTTCCTGAATGTAAATTATATCTCAATAAACCTGACTTTTTTTTTTTTTAAGATTTTATTTATTCATTTGAGACACAGAGACACAGAGAGAGAGCATGAGCAGGGGGAGAGGCAGAGGGAGAGGGAGAAGCAGGCGCCCTGCCCAGCCAGGAGCCCGATGTGGGCCTTGATCCCAGGACCCTGGCATCATGACCTGAGCTGAAGGCAGACGCTTAACCATTTGAGCCACCCAGGCGCCCTAAACCTGACTTTAAAAATAGATTGAGAATAAATAATTTGTGTAAAAAATGGGCGGAGGACCTGAACAGACATTTCTCCAAAGAAGATGTACAGATGGCCAACAGACACATGAAAAGGTGCTCATGCTCACTCATCATCTGGGAAATGCAAATCAAAACCACAGTGAGATACCACCTCACACCAATCAGAATGACTAAAATAAAATCAGAAGGACAAGAAATAACAAGTGTTGGTAAGGATGTGGAGAAAAGGAAACCCTCACCCTGTTGGTGAGAATACAAACTGGTGCAGTCACTGTGGAAAACAGTATGGGGGTTCCTCAGAAAATTAAAAATAGAACTACCATGTGATCTAGTAATTCCATTGCTGGTTATTTACCCCCCCCAAAATGAAAAATAATTTGAAAAGGTACATGCACCCCTATGTTTATTGCAGCATTATTTACAGTAGCCAAGATACGGAAGCAACCTAAGTGTCCATCAATAGATGAATGGATAAAGAAGAGGTGTATATGTATGTGTATATACACACACACACACTCACAATAATATACAATTCCATATTTATATAATAGAGTATTACACAGCCATAGAAAAGAATGAGATCTTGCTATTTGGGACAACATGATGGACCCAGGGGGTATTATGCCAAGTGAAATAAGCCAGGCAGAGAAAGACAAATACCACATAATTCACTTATGTGTGGGATCTAAAAAAACAGACTAATACAAACTGGTGGTTGCAGGGGCAGGGATGGGCAAAATTGGTGAAGGGGATTAAGAGGTAAAACTTACAGTTGTAAAATGAGTAAGTCATGGGGATGAGAAGTACAGTATAGGGAATATAGTCAGTAATGTAATAAGGCGGCAGATGGCAACTATGCTTGTGGTGAGCATTGAGGAATGTATGGAATTGTGGAATCACTATGTTGTACACCTGAGACTTAGGTAACATTGTATGTCAACTAGACTTCAATTAAAAAAAAAAAAAAGATTGAGAAAGGTAATTTCATTCCCCAAAGGGGCAAAAATCATATGGGTGTTCATTTAAGTCCGGGTTTATAAATGAAAACCACAGTGGAGCAATAAAAGAAGATACTAATGAATAGTAATAGCCTCTTCCTGGTTGGAGAGACTAAAGACAACCGAGATGACACTGGGCCCAGCAGGGTCAGAGCGCCATGTGAGGGCGGATGATCAGACTGTGTTGGAAGCTCCTGGAAGCGGTGGCGGGTTCCTGCATCCGCCAGCGGGTGGAGCCGGCTGGCACCACCTGGTGCAGGCTCGGGAAGCCCGCCCCTCCGGAGATCAGGCCTGCCTGCCCCGGGGCGGGGCCTCGGGAGTGCTCGGCCTGGGGCGCTGGTTGCGGGAGTGCCCAAGTCCTGGAGTGCAGAGGCCCAGGAGATAGTGAGTGCGCCGCCCCTCGCCTCCCTGCCCCGCCCCCAGTGCGGACCCTCGAGGCAGGCCCTGCAATCACCACCCCCTACCAGTCACCATCACAAGCGCTCCCGGCCTGCCTTTTAACCACCCCTCTACCTTAGTCCGCTCCTTTCCCCTTGCAGGTGCTCAGCACCTTTGCCTTTCAGCTTCCTTTTTTCTCCTCCCGGCAGTGGCGGCCCCCCGAGACGCTGAGATACGGAAGGACGTGCAGGTGCCTGCAGAAGGGCCTGGAATGGCCCAGGAGGAGCCTCGACTGAGTGGGAGCACTAGGCCTTTGTTAGCCCGGCCCGCCTGTGCCCTTGCCCCCCAGGATCAAGGAGGGGACGGGAGTGGGGTGCAGGGCAAAGTCTGGGCTTAGAGCTTTGCAGGGGGAAAGCCTAGCCAGGCCTGGATGGGTGGGGCTGGGGGTGGTGGTGGACATGGGAGACTTCACCCTGTGGATACCAGTTCCAGCTTTTCTCTCTCCCCACCCCAACCCTGCCCTTGGCCTCTGGTCAGACCTACTATGGGCAGGTGCTGAAGAAATCAGCAGATCTCCAGACCAGTGCCTGCGTCACTGCAGCCAGGCTGGTCCCCAAGCACATCCGGGAAGCCTTGAGGAATGTACATGAAGAAGTAGCCTTGAGGTAGAGTTCCTGTGCTGCCCCCCATCCCCCCACCATGAAGACTCTAGGCAGCAGCTTTTTCAAGACAGTGATGCTGTCCCTAGGGAATTAACCCATTTCCTCAGATCCATCTAGTTTGCTGTGTCTATCATAAAACTGGTAAAGCACAGCAATGATCGTCTTACAGCTCTGCTTAAAAACTTCCAATGACCCCCCTCCCCACCCAACCTCCCTTTACTCAGGATACACCTTGGACGTGACATTCAAGGCTGTCCAGTTTGGCCCCCACTTCCTAACCAACCCCAGCTCCCTCTGATGCACTGTACTACTCTAGCTAGACCTTTCCCTTCCTCCTGCCTCACATGCAATTATTTTTTTTAAAAAAGATTTTATTTATTTGACAGAGAGAGAGGGCAAGCACAACCAGGGGAGCTGCAGGGAGAGGGAGAAGCAGGCTCCCTGCTGAGCGCGGATCCCAGATCCCAGAACCCTGGGATCATGACCTGATCTGAATGCAGACGCCTAACAACTCAGCCACCCAGGCACCCCTCACATGCAATTATTGATCTGGAATGCCTTCCCTCTCCTTTCTACCTAACAAATCCTGCCCTTCCAACACTTCACTGATGTCCTACCTACTTTGTGAAGCCTTATCCCTCCTCGAGCACCCTCTTCCCTAAACCACTATAGCACTTACTGCCTGTGCAGTAAATCATGGGAAATGTTTTCTGTGCTCATGGTTTACCTCCCCAGTTAAATACCCCCGGGGAACAGAAATCTTGTGTTACATTTCTTCTTCAATAACGAGCACAGTTCTGGACCTTTAGTAGATGTTCAGCTATAATAACTAACTAAATGTATTTACTCAACAAATATTGTAAATGGCTTGTTTGTCTTAGTACCTGGTGCAGTGCCCAACGATGATAACAATGGTAAACAAAGCAGACAGAGTCCCAGTTTTCATGGAGCTTCCAGTTTAGTGGGGGAAACGAAACACCTAAATAGAAATCCAGGGAGTGGTGGAAGCAAGGAGGGACAGAAAGGAAGGAGAGAGGTAGGAAGAAAGGATTTGTAAGATGTAGCGATTCCACATATTCTAGTCTCTAGGGGGAAAATATGGATACATGGATGTATTTTCTATTTCCCAGGTATTATGGCTGTGGTCTGGTAATCCCTGAGTGTCTGGAAAACTGCTGGATTTTGGACCTGGGCAGTGGAAGTGGCAGAGATTGCTATGTACTGAGTCAGCTGGTCGGTGAGACAGGACGTGTCACTGGGATAGACATGACAGAAAGTCAGGTGAGGCAGAGATTAGGAGGGCAAGGAGGAAAGAATTCTCAAAGGCATTCTTTTAAAGACAAAGTTGTTTCCTTTGTGACTCTCTTCAAGGATAATCTGCGAAGGCTGCTAAATGCAAAGCTCATTTGGGCCACTAGTGCTTCCTGCCCTGAAGGCTGAGAACTTTGACAATTAGGGGCTCTTCTTGGAGAACAGAGTCAGAGGTTTGACCTGATAAATGAATATCATGATGACCCAGTGGAGTCTGATTTTTCCCTTGCTTCTGCCATCTATCTTGAAGGATTTTGTTGTTGAGTGAAGAGTTTACTCAAGCAAAACCCATGTATCAAGGGGCACCTGGCAAGCTCAGGCAATAGAATATGTGACTCTTGCTCTCAGGGTCATGAGTTCAAGCCCCACATTGGGTGTGGAGCCTACCTAATTAAAAAAACAAAACAAAACAAAAAACCCAGCAGAGAGTTTATCACTCATTGAGTTGTCCCAGACTGTAATTTATCCTACATGCCCAGAGGAACCTTAAACACTTACCAAAAATATATTATGAATATTCCATTCATAATAGGAAATTTTTAGTAAAAGAGTAGCATATTTTAAAAAATGATTATCAAATCCATATATATATATTTATATATGTTTTTGGTTTTTTGTTTTTTTAGGTAGAAGTGGCTAAGAAGTATATTGAGTATCACATGGAAAAACATGGCTTCCAGACACCCAATGTGACTTTTCTTCATGGCTACATAGAGAATTTGGAGGAGACTGGAATCAAGAATGAGAGTTACGATATTGTTATGTAGGTCTATACCCTTATTTCTGTGAATATAGCCCATTTCCTGTCGAACACTCTTTGTGGAACTGACTCTCATTTAGGGTGTTAAGCCTGACTTAATAAAGGGACAGAGCTGTTCTCAGGTGCTTGTAGCCCACCGGTCTCAGAACACACTGGCCCAGGAGAGAACCGACTGTAAACTGAAACATAAACGGATGAGCCCAAAAGAACAGCAGGAACCTTGAGTCTGCTCCTACAACACACACCGACCTGTTATCTTCAGTATTATTGTCACAGCAAGGTGTAGGAGTCTGTTTCTCCTTTTCTTTTGAATTGTTGTCAAATCATGCCCAGGTGACAGCCTTAAGGAAGCTGCCTTTGATGAATTTCGCCTATCTACATGTGGCCTAAGGAACGCGTGGTGCAGGAGGCATGGGGAACCAGCCTTCGTGCCGTTGCGTGGTGACCATCCGCGCAGACACAAATCAGGAGCGTGCCTGATTTTTTTTTTTCTGCCCACTCAAATTGACTAAAAATTTATTGCGATTTTAAATACCCCATCCATCTCCTTTTTCTTGGGAAAAAAACTGAGCGTGGGGAAGAGAAGAGGGAGGCAGAAAGAATGGTGTAGCTTTGGGAAATGGTGGAAGACGTCTTTAGGGACTAAAGGATTTGAAGCATTCTGAGTGGTGTGAATTTGCCTGCCATTCCATCTCTTCTTTTTTAGATCAAATTGTGTCATTAACCTTGTGCCTGATAAGGAACCCGTGCTGCAGGAGGCGTACCGAGTGCTGAAGGTGAGGGGAGGGGGAGACATGTCAGTAAGAGCAGATGGGATCTGTCCTGCTCTTGCCCCCTTGAGCGGACAGCTCCAACTCTTGCCATTTATTCACGTTAAAAAGGGACGGCAAAAAGAGGCGTGGCGAGAATGCCCCAGACGTGGATTCCTTTTCCTCTCGTGTCGTAAAAGGTCGTAAATCCGAGAGTCATGATTGTCATTGGATGCCGTAAAATAGCTGCTTGACTGTGGTCTCTTTTCCTGTTCCCTGCTGGCCCTGGTCCTGGGATAGCATCTGTAGGACTTCAGGGACTTTTGGACTGACTCCGAAAGATTGCTATGGATAGACTCTTCCAGCTTATATAGTGTTTCTGAGGGCTGCTTGTTTCATTTCTATCAGGATTTCAGATCTTTGGGAAGTTAAAAAAGATGGAAATTTTACATTAACTACTTTCTAAAAGGAAGACTTGCTGGAGCTCCGTACCCTCCACATATATCATGAGATGTATATCTTCGTGATAGAAGATAGAAGATTCTGAGATTTTTGGTTTACAGGGCTTGTCATAGAGATGAAATAAGAATATGTAGGAATGATTTAATAATGTCATCTAATGGGCCAGCATACTATCTTCATCAGGATGTACTTCTAAAACGTAGAGACATTATAGTACAATCTGGACTCAGGGCCCTTGAAACTAGCTAAATACAATCGTAAAATTCCTGATCACTCATATGTCTGAGATTTTAAGGACATTTAAAAAATATTAATATAAAAATAAATAACATTACAAAAGTTCTGATTTTTATGGGAGAAGAATTCAGGAATACTATTTACTTCTATTAGTTATACAACCACCTGGGACTGCATTTGGTTCAGACTGGCTAAAATTTTAAGCACCCGAGTATCTTTATTTAGGAGAGAAACACTCTTGGAAAACCATTTTATTGTCTGTAGGGCACTGAAAAGAAATCTTGGCACGCAGCTATTGCTTGTAACTAGTAAGGCAGCTGGGCTTTGTTCACCAAGAGTCACCTCAGTACTTCTGTTTGGTTTTTAAAGTTGATTTTATCTCCTCATTCCTTTCTTTGCTATCTGGGACTAATGTCATCTTTAACCTTGTTTGGACTAATAATGCTGTTTCAGCACGGCGGGGAGCTGTATTTCAGTGACGTCTATGCTAGCCTTGAATTGCCAGAAGAAATCAGGACACACAGAATTTTATGGGGTAAGTGTTGCTTTGTTTTGTTTTACGGCAGATACTTGTTCATGTACAGAGCTCCAATCTGCTAATACCCAGGAGGAGGCTTTGTGATGTGGGAACACGTAGGACTAGATGGGGTGGCTTCTGTCCCCTTTCTCCTCTGACACTCAAGAGTAGTATGACCTTAGAGTTTAATTAGTCTCTTTGAGTCATTGTTTTCCAAATTGTAAAATGCAGATAATAATACAATCTAACTTATTGGGCTGTTATGAAGATTAAATGAGATAGTGGATATGAAAAATACTTTGAAAACTGTAGCATGGTAACCCTTTGGGGACTGAAGCCCCTTCATCTCCTTCTGTCCTCAGTGTTATTGTGTTGTTTATTCCCTTATTGTCATTTAAATGGAGTCTCTGGAAGTTGAGGAGATGAATGTATGCCTGTGGTCAGTCTGATTATGAAATAAGTTCTTATTATTAGGGGCACCTGGTCGGCTCAGTCAGTAGAGCATGTGACTCTTGATCTCAGGGTTGTGAGTTCAATGCCCACAGTAGGTATAGAGATTACTAAAAAAAAGAAGAAGAAGAAAAAAAAGAATCCTATTTAAAAAAAAAAAAAAAGTTCTTTTAAAATAAGTTCTGTTAACTTTTTTCTTGTCATACAATAATAAATGAATATTGTTAAAATGTTGGAAAATACAAAAAGAAAAAGAAAAAATTACTTATCATGTAACCTGGCAATAACTTCTTTAACATTTTAGCATATATCCTTGTAGGGTGTGTGTGTGTATAATAAAATTTGGAGCATGCTATATGTAGAATTTAGTATCCTCATTTCATTTGGCATGTTTCCTAAGCCTAAAATCTTTATTATTATTATTATTATTATTATCATAATGTATTATTTGTTTCAGGGGTACAGATCTGTGATTCATCAGTCTTACACAATTCACAGCGCTCACCATAGCACATACCCTCCCCAATGTCCATCACCCAGCCACCCCATCCCTCCCACTCCCCTCCCCTCCAGCAACCCTCAGTTTGTTTCCTGAGATTAAGAGTCTCTTATGGTTTGTCTCCCCCTCTGGTTTCGTCTTGTTTCATTTTTCCCTCCCTTCCCCTAGATCCTCTATCTTGTTTCTCAAATTCTTCATATCAGTGAGATCATATGATAATTGTCTTTCTCTGATTGACTTATTTCGCTTAGCATAATATCCTCTAGTTCTATCCACGTCATTGCAAATGGCAAGATTTCATTTGTTGATGGCTGTATAATATTCCATATTCCATTGTGTGTGTGTGTATATATATTCAACTAGAGAAAAGCCGCCAGTCACTCCCGTCTCCCCGGTCTCCGGCCACACTCCATGCTCACCCAGCCTGTGACCGAGCGTTTCTATCTCTGGCACCCGACCCCGGGTGGAGTTTCCAAACCCAGCAGATCCCTGCGGCGCGCCGCTCCTCCCGGGGAAGGAAGGGGAGTTTCCCCGGATCTGCTGCTTGTTGGGTCCCTGCTGGAGGAGCAGTGGCCCGACTGTGCCGCGGATCACGGTTTATGGCCACCCCGAGCTGAGAGCCCGCGCCTGGGCTCCGCCTCTGCAGCTGGCTTCCCTGCTCCGTTACCTGGGAGCTCTGCCACACTCAGGCACCCCCGGTCTTTCTGTGACCCCGAGGGTCCTGAGACCACATTGTCCCGCGAGGGTTCCACCCCCTGCTTAGCCACTGGAGTGACGTCCCTCAGCAGAGCCGACTTCTAAAAGTTCCGATTTTGTGCTCCGCGGCTCTGTCACTTGCCGGTAGCGGCCGACGGAGGCCCCCTCCCCTGCCATCTATCCTCCTGAATATCGCCTTGGATTCACTTCTCTGCACGTCCTACCTTCCAGAAAGTGGTCGCTTTTCTGTTCAGAGAATTGCTGCTATTCTTTTCTTCGATCTCCTGTTGAGTTCATAGGTGTTCAGAATGGTTTGATCCCTATCTAGCTGAATTCCTGGGACCAGGTGAAATCCAGGTCTCCTACTCCTCTGCCATCTTGCTCCTCCTCCCCTAAGCCTAAAATCTTTAAAAATGTGTGTGTATTCTACAACTATATTGTACAGCTGTGCCATACTTTATTTGACCATTTCTCTATGGGTAATCATTTGGGTTGTTTCTAATTTGTTGATGTAATAAATTTAAAAACTGTAAATTGCCTTGTGAATATTAGTAGTAGTTACTGTTCTAGTAGCAGATTGTTTATGATAATCTGGAGCTAATAGGCAATTTGTAAATTATCCTTTATATGTTTTTACTCACATAGCATAGTGCTTTTCAGAATGTGACCTAATCCATCCAGAAATACGATTGCAGCTGTATGGGACCGTACATTAGTGACTGTCTTGAATAATGGTTCCCAGAGGCCATTAAGCTAGCATATTCCATTTTAATTGTGACTTTCTAGATATTGGGGGGACACTCAGGTCCTTTTTCTATTTCTAGGATATATGTTTTAACTAACACCATATCCTTTTTTTAATTTATTTTTTCATTTTATTTATTATTATTTTTAAAGATTTTATTTATTTATTTGAGAGAGAGAGAATGAGAGAGAGCACATGAGAAGGGGGAGGGTCAGACGGAGAAGCAGACTCCCTGCCAAGCAGGGAGCCCGATGCAGGACTCAATCCAGGGACTCCAGGATCATGACCTGAGCCGAAGGCAGTCGCTTAACCAACTGAGCCACCCAGGCGCCCCACCATATCCTTTTTTTAAAAAAGTTTGTTTAAGTAATTTCTACACCCAACGTGGGGCTCAAACTCACGACCTCGAGGTCAAGAGCTGCATGCTCTTCTAACTGAGGCAGCCAGGCACCCCAACTAATACCATTCCTAATCAGTTTTATAAAAGAGTAATTTCTTGAATATCTAGTTGTTTGGTTGGTTTGTGATTTTTCTTTTTTTTAGGTGAGTGCCTGGGTGGTGCTTTATACTGGAAGAACCTTGCCATCCTTGCCCAAAAAATTGGTTTCTGCACTCCACGTTTGGTCACTGCCAATCTCATTACAGTTCAAAACAAGGAACTAGAAAGAGTGATCGGTAAGAAAGAGCAGTGGGGAATGTTAAAACTCCTCCTTGAGTGGTTCAAGTGCGGTGTCTAGCAAGAGTGTACTAAGTGGGTCTCATTGAAGGAGACTTTGGGTCATCTGGAAACCTCCATCTTGTCTTCTGTTTAATAGCAACCTCCCAAAGTTTGGTATTTAATAAAGCACTTCAAAGTTATTCGGTAAATAAAGTGAACTGCCCAGAAAGATAACTGGTGGCATGCAAAGAAGAAAATCACCATTATAATCTGTATGCTCTTCATCTACTAAGCAAACCAATAGCCATTTGGGAGCTGGAGCTGAACCATGGGTAAATTCCGTTTTAGGTGACTGTCGTTTTGTTTCTGCAACATTTCGCCTCTTCAAAATCCCTAAGACAGGACCAGCCAAAAGATGCCAAGTGATTTACAATGGAGGAATCACAGGCCATGAAAAAGAACTAATATTTGATGCAAGTTTCACATTTAAGGTAAATAAAAATTTCCATGATTTTGGACATTCTTTCTACTCTTACATTTGCTCCAGGTACCTTTTCTTAACCTTGCATTGCATCTCCCTTTCCTGGTGTTGGGACATGTGCATGTATGTATGTATGCTTTTGCTGAACCATTAAAAGTAAGTCGCAGACATTGTGACATGTTATCCTTAATATTTCAGCATGCATCTCCTAAGAATAAAATATTCTTGTACATAACCACAATATCACTGTCACCACCTAAGAAAATCTTTTATGGGAAGTATCTATCAGACATCAGATTAATGGAATTACAGAGAAGCAGTATGGAAAAGAATAGAAGTATTGTGCAACAGTATTTCAGTGGTTCACTTGCATCATAGAATTAAGGAACTCTTGTTGTTTAATGACAATATATTGATATTTCTACTACTCTTTGCAGGGCAGTCTTTATTTCCTCAAAATGGAAAAGTATAGGCTTTGGCATCAGATACCTGGGTTCAAATTCTGGCCCTATTATTTATTACTTGGGTAAACTTGAATAAGTCCTTCTTTGAGATATAGTTTGCTCCACTGCAAGAGTAGGGGTAATAATACCTACTGTGTGGAATTTCTATAAGGAAAAAAAAAAAAAGATTAGCGGTAATATAGGGGCCCCCTGGCTGGTTGAGTCAGTAGAGCATGCAACTCTTTGTCTCCGGGTTGTAAGTTCGAGCCCCATGTTGGGTGTAGAGATTACTTAAAAAATAAAATTTTAATAAAGATTAGCAATAATATAGCAGAACATTGGTACATACCGGGAACTCAGTAAATAGAAGATATAATCATGATTTTTCCCAAGGTAGCTGTTTCCCACCTGATTTTTTGGTCCAAATAGCATCTTCGAAGTTCTTAACTACTCCCCGGTGCTATTGATGCTTTTTCACTGATCCACTGCCCCTTGATGTACTGCCTGCTTCTGTAGGGTCACAGAATCAAAGTGGGAAGGGCCTTTGAACCCATCGCTCTGATATAGTGGCTTTCAAAGAACCCCCATCTTTAATAGTAGAATTCCTTTTTTAAGGAAGATCTTATTTAAAAAAACAATACTTGGGGCATCTGGGTGGCTCAGTCAGTTAAGCATCTGCCTTCGGCTCAGGTCATACTCTTGGGGTCCTGGGATCGAGCCCCACATCGGGCTCTCTGCTCATCGGGGAGCCTGCTTCTCCCTCTCCCTCTGCCTGCCGCTCCCCCTGCTTGTGGTCTCTCGTTCGTGCACTCTCTCTCAAAATGAATAAATAAAATCTTAAAAAAAAATTTTAAAAACCACAAAAAACCAATACTATGTGTCAGACATTGCATTACACAACCCCAGTATATGAAGGGGTAAACGCAGAGCTTATCTGAAGGGAGCAGGGGTTAGATAACCCAGACTCTCCTGTGCTCATTCCTGGTTCCCAAGGCATGAGGCTTTTATATAGCCCCCCAGACACCCTGGGACTCACAAAAATACACATTAACACTATTATTTTAATTTAAACCCTCATTTTAATGATGAATAAGGTGAAACTCAGATAACAGTGGTTTTCTACATCTGTCTCTGAGGAGAGATGGGATACTGGAGCAATGAGTGTCCTTTTTTTTTTTTTTTTTTTTTTTGCTTTGCCACCAAAGAAAAACTGATTATGACACTGGTCAATTACATTTTGAAATGAGCATGAAACTAGCGGCAGGGTCTGAACAGAAATACCGTTTCAGAAGATACGGTCTTTTTATCCTGAAATGTCACTCCTTAGTAAAACCTTTGTATGTTTTTCTTTTATTAAGATTAAAGTGGCATTTCTTGGGGCGCCTGGGTGGCTCAGTCATTAGGCGTCTGCCTTCGGCTCGGTCGTGATCCCAGGGTCCTGGAATCCAGCCCCGAATCGGGCTCCCTGCTCGCGGGAAGCCTGCTTCTCCCTTTCCCACTCCCCCTGCTTGTGTTCCCTCTCTCACTGTGTCTCTCTCTGTCAAATAAATAAATAAAATCTTTAAAAAAAAGATTAAAGTGGCATTTCTTTTTTTTTTTTTTAAAGATTTTATTTATTTATTTGAGAGAGAGAGAATGAGAGACAGAGAGCGTGAGAGGGGGAGGGTCAGAGGGAGAAGCAGACTCCCTGCCAAGCAGGGAGCCCGATGCGGGACTCGATCCCGGGACTCCAGGATCATGACCTGAGCCGAAGGCAGTCGCTTAACCAACTGAGCCACCCAGGCGCCCCTAAAGTGGCATTTCTTAATATGTGTTTTTTTTCTGCTACCCTTCAGGAAGGTGAAATTGTTGAAGTGGATGAAGAAACAGCAGCTATCTTGAAGAATTCACGATTCACCCAGAATTTTCTGATCAGACCAGTTGGAGAGAAGCTGCCAGCATGTAGTGGCTGTTCTGCTTTAGGATCAAAGGTTTGTTTGGCTTTCAGTCCCTGCCTTGCCACTGACTGCTAAAACAAGAAACAAATCGTTATTCTTTTAGTTGGCCACTATAAATAATTTCTAGCCATATTTGTACCTACAAAATGATTTGAATTAATTTCATAACTTTATTTTTCCAATCTGGATATTAAGTCAGAGACTCTTAACTTGGTGCACCCATGAATGGACTTCAGGGCATCCATGAATCCCTTAAAATTATATATGTGTATGTATATTTTCTCAAGAAAGTATCTATTACTTTCATCAGATTCTTAAAGGAGTCCAGATACAAAAAAGGTTAAGAGTTACCTTGGAAAAAATTACTCAAATATTCAAATAATTATTTGAATAATTTTTTTTAAAGATTTTATTTATTTGCGAGAGAGAGAGTGAGCGAGAGAGTGAGCGAGAGGGAGAGCACAAACTGGGGGATGGGGGGGAGGGGCAGAGAGAGAAGCGGAGTCTCTGCTAAGCAGGGAGCCCGATGCAGGGCTTGATCCCAGGACCCTGGGATCATGACCTGAGCCGAAGGCAGATGCTTAACCGACTGAGCCACCGAGGTACCCCTCAAACATTTGTAAGTCTTAATTGAGATAGTCAAATTGCCCTACAAAAAGACTGTAGAAGTCTACATGCCTACCTGCAATGTATGAGAATACCTTTTCCCTGCCGTCTTACTAATATTGGGTATTATTTTTAAAACTCTTTGCTTGTCTGATGGGCAGAAAATAATTTGTTGTTTTATTTTGCATATATTGAACCTTTTGCCTATTTATTGGCCAGTTATATTTCATCCAATGTGAACTTCCTGTATAATTCCTTTAACCATCTGCCATTAGAGTGGGATTTGCCATTTCTTTATTGCTCTGTAAACGATTATCTGTTATATGTTGTGAATATTTTTTCTCAGCATGTCATCTATCTTTTTATTTGCTTATTTTTCCTGAGTAGACATTTTCAATTTTTATGTAGTCAATTCCTTTATGGTTTCTGCCTCTTATGTTATGATTAGAAAGACCTTCTCCATGTGAACATTATGAATTTACCTCTATTTTCTTTAAAATTTTTTTAAGATTTTATTTTTAAGTAACCTCTACACCTAAGGTGGGGCTTGAACTCATAACCCCAAGACCAGGAGTTGCATCCTGCGCTGACTGAGCCAGCCAGGGGCCCCACCTATATTTTCTTTTAGTACTTTAGACATTCTGGGATAAAATTCATATAACAAAATTCACTATTTTAACCATTTTAATGTGTACAATTTAGTGACTTTGAGTATATTTACAAGGTTGTGCAGTCATCACTAGTATCTAGTTTCAGAAAACTTTCATTACCCCAAAAGAAATCCCATACTTATTAAGCAGTCATTCTGCTATCTCCCCTCCCCCTGGCCTCTGGCAATAAACTAATCTGCTTTCTGTCTCTGAATTTGCCTATGGTGGACATTATTATATAAATGGAATCATATACTATAAGGCCTTTTGTGTCTGGATTCTTTTACTTAACATAATGTTTTCTTTTCTTTTCTTTTCTTTTTTTTTTAAAGATTTTATTTATTTATTTGAGAGAGAGAGAGAGAACACATGAGAGGGGATAGGGTCAGAGGACGAAGCAGACTCCCTGCCGAGCAGGGAGCCCCATGCGGGACTCGATCCCGGGACTCCAGGATCATGACCTGAGCCGAAGGCAGTCTCTTAACCAACTGAGCCACCCAGGCGCCCTAACATAATGTTTTCAAGGTTTATCCATGTCAGTACTTCATTCCTTTTTATGTCTGAATAATATTCCATTGCATGGATATACCACATTTTGTTTATCCACTCATCAGTTGATAGATGATTAGGTTCTTTCTATTCCTGGCTGTTCCGAGTAGTATTGCTGTGAACATGCATGTACGCGTACTTCATGTCCTTATTTGAGTACTGGTTTTCAGTTATTTTGGGTCTATACCTAGTCGTTGGATTGTTGAGTCATATAGTAATTCTACATCCAACTTTTTGAAGACCCACCAAACTGTTGTCCACAGTGGCTGCACCATTTTAAATTCCTACCAACAATGTATAGGTTTCTAATTTCTCTACATCTTTGCCAACACTGTGTTATTTTCTGTTTAGTTTTTATTGTAGTCATCCTAGTCAGTGTAAAGTACCTCATTGTGGTTTGGATTTGCATTTCCCTAATGACTAGTGACGCTAACCATCTTCTCACATGTTTGTTGACCATCTATATGTTTTCTTTGGGGAAATGTTGTTTTAGATCCTTTACCCATTTTTTTTTTTTTTTAAGAGAGGGAGAGAGAGGGAGGAGGGGCAGGGCGAGAGGGAAAGAGAGAACTTAAGCAGGCTCCATGCCCAGGACAGAGTCCGACATGGGGCTCAATTTTACAACCCAATGCAGGGCTCGATCCCAAGATCCTGGGATCATGACGTGAGCCAAAGGCAGATGCTTAACCAACTGAGCCACCCAGGTGCCCCTAAACCTTGTTTTTAAACAGAATTCAATTTAGAGGTGTCTGGTTGGCTCAGTCAGTTAAGCATCTGCCTTCGGCTCAGGTCGTGATCCCAGGGTCCTAAGATGGAGCCCCACATTAGGCTCAATTTTACAACCCTGAGATCATGACCTGAGATGAAATCAAGAGTCGGACACTTAACTGACTGAGCTACCTAGGCTCTTTTGCCCATTTTTAAATTGGGTTGTCTTTTTATTGTTGAGTTGTAAGAGCTCTTTATATATTCTGGATACTAGACCCTTATCAGATATATGATTTGCAAAACTTTCTCACATTCTGTGTGTTGTCTTTTCACTCTGGGTAGTGTCCTTTGATGCACAAAAGTTTTTAATTTTGGTGAAGTTGAATTTTTCTTTTTTGGTTGCTTGTGCTTTGGGTGTCATAGCTAAAAATCCATTGCTTAATCCAAGGTCATGCAGATTCTTCTAGTGCTTTCATGGTTTTGCTTTTCACATTAAAATTTTTAAACCATCTGGAATTTATTTTAGCATAAATGTTGAGGTACAGTGTGACTATTTCTCCAAATATTAACTAGTTCAAATTTTCCTGTTCATTTATTATATCAATTCCCCACTGTTTTGAAAAGCTAATTTTGATCATATCTTAATTTCTTGAATGTATACCAGAGCCAGGATACCACTATATTCTAAAGTGATCATTTTCTAAAATATTTTAGATTCATTTTTGGAATTATTCTAGTATCTGAAGTATTGGTATAGCATTTCCTAAAGCATTTTATCACAGTTTATCTCCTGCCATCTCCACAGCTACCCTATGAAGAAGGCAGATGGGTAGAGAGTAGCATCCCTCTTTGTCTTTCTCTCATATATATACATATATATTTTTTATTTTATTTTTAAGGTTTTATTTATTTATTTGACAGAGAGAGATACAGCGAGAGAAGGAACACAAGCAGGAGGAGTGGTTGAGGGAGAAGCAGGCTTCCCGCCGAGCAGGGAGCCCAATATGGGGCTCGATCCCAGGACCCTGGGATCATGACCTGAGCCGAAGGCAGACGCTTAAAGACTGAGCCACCCAGGCGCCCCTCTTTCTTATATATTTAATCCTTTCCCCCTATTCATGGTGTCAATTATTTTATTGATCCATTCATTAATTTATAATATTGTATTTAGAACAGGCTGAGTGATGGATTTCAAGTCTCTTTGGGCTGCCAGAACTTACAACATTCACCGAAGTCATACCAACGATGTGTCTCAAGGCGCTGAACATTGGAAGCCCCGGAAAATAAGATACTGATATTACTGTGCCAGGATAGCAGCAGAGCGTGGGGTTTATGTATACAGGCCTTGCAGTCAGATAGGCTAGGTTCAGATCTTGGCTCTACCAGGCATGTGTGATCTCAGGTACATTACCTAACCTCCCTACACCCTTTGTCTCTCCATATGTAACAGGAAGGTAATAATCACTTTTTCTCCTCGGGTTGTGAGGATCAATGGGGATGATCTATGGAGAATGTTAGCCTGATGCCTGGCACATAATACACACTCAAGAAATAGAAGTAGTTACAGTTATGGATTTGTACTAATTAAGATTCTTGGTCACTTGGAACCGTGTTCTAGGATTTCTCATTCTTCCTGACACACCCTTTCTCCTGGGCCCAGAGATTCTCTAATCTTTTGCCATGAATTTTTGCTTTCTTTTGCTTGTATTTCGTAATAACTTTGGATACATCGAGCATACACTGAGACACAAGTAACTCGTATGCCTTTTTCTCCTCCTTCTGTTACATTATAAGCAGTCTATAAGTGTAAAGCTTGTTTAGAGATCACTCTCCAAAATGGTAGATTTGTAGTTGGGAAAGTTTAATTGAACACAAGAGGCAGGAATTCTGGAGCCAAAAAACCGAATGTGTTCTTGTTTGGCCACTCTTACCAGCATGAATCAAGCGCAAGCTAAATGTAGGAGCCACCTCTAGAGCTGAAGAGTGATTTACAGGTTTTACTTTATTAAATTCTTGAGACCTCTGCTATTTGTTACTCTTCTGTTTTTCTTTTCTTTTCTTTTTTTTTTTTTTTAAGATTTTATTTATTTATTTGACAGAGAGAGACATAGCGAGAGCAGGAACACAAGCAGGGGGAGTGGGAGAGGGAGAAGCAGGCTTCCCACTGAGCAGGGAGCCCGATGCGGGGCTCGATCCCAGGACCCTGGGATCATGACCCGAGCTGAAGGCAGACGCTCAACGACTGAGCCACCCAGGCGCCCCTACTGTTCTGTTTTTCTAAGCAGATGCCTTTTTGGAAAGTAGAGAAATGTGACTTTGGACCTTTCAGCCCTTGAAACCTTTCACAAATGTGTTATTGGTATTTTGAAACTCTTGGGAGTTCACTGATAACCAAACCTTGCTGGTGAGTATCAATATGTATTTTTGAAATGTTTCCATCATTCTAATTCTCCTGGAACCTGGTTTCCTGAATACTAGTTAGAAAAGCTGTCAGCAGGTTATGGTAATAAGTAAAGGGAGTGTTTCCTCCAACCACCACACTTCCAGTGTACTCTGGTTGTAAAAAAAAAAAAAAAAAAAAGTCATTAAGCGGGCTGGCTTCTGCAGAGACCCCTTCTTCCAGCCTGGCTCTCCTTGACCTCCCTCTTAGTGTCCACGCGGGGCGTACAGGAGGGCTCTTGACCTCACATACCAATCATAACTTGCCACGTACTTGAACTGGTTTATCCCACCTGCCTCCTCTCTCATCTGCCTTGGTTCTTTCAGAGTGCTGATGTGCCCGTGTCTTTAGATCAGTTCCAAGGTTTTGAAATGGCAATCGCTGACAGTGAAGGAAGATTTAAGGAATGAAACAGCTGCGTGTCCTAGAAATATAACCTTGTGTGCTTGGAGGAGGACGTTCCTATCTTTTTTACAGAAGACCTTTCCAATAAAGGCCAAGAGCACAGTACAGGCAGGTGGCACGTGGGGGTTGCTGGTGCTCGCATCTTCCCGACACCTGCCACCAGTGAGGACTGCTGCTTCTTCCTGAGCATTGACTCAGTGAGGACTGTTTCCAAGAGCCCTTCTTTTCTTTCTTTCGTCTTCTTCTTCCTCCTGCCCTTCCTGCTCCTCCGCCCTCTCCCCCTCTTCCTCTTCTCCTCTTCCTCATTCTCTTCCTTCTTCTCTTTTAACCCTGACAAGGAAAGTGTATCTTGCTATTAAAAGAATTACATTAGGGGCACCTGGGTGGCTCAGTTGGTTGAGCGTCCGACTCTTGATCTTAGCTCAGGGATTGATCTCAGGATCGTGAGTTCAGGCCCCACATTGGGCTCCACACTGGGCATGCAGCCTCCAAAAGAAAAAAAAGAATTACATTAGTAAAACACTGCAGGATCTGAAATGATGCATGTAGGATTGTGGTATGCACTATCTTGCTACAGTTAATAGTAGTGGTAGTAACAACATCAGCAACACTAGGAATAGTGTTAGAGGACCTAGCCTTTACTGAACAGGTAAGATGTTCAAGGCACTGTGTCACTTTGTCCTCACAATAACCCTTATTATCCTCATTTTGCAGATGAAGAACCTAAGACTCAGGGAGATTAATCCAAGGTCACAGAGCTAGAAAGTGGTGAATTTGAACCCACGTCGGATTCTAGAGCTGACATTCTTACCCAATTTGCTGTACTACCTCTCTGTATCTAGACTTTTTGTAGAATCACAGGATGTTGGTGCTGGAAAGGACTGTTTCTCAACGTGTCTCACCTTTTATTTCCTTTAAGTCTTGGGACCTTTTAGGGGTGGGAGCATGCATTAGGAAGTGATAATTGATATCACTATCTCCTGTTAGTAGAGAGGACATGGGATGGGAAGAAAAAGAGTGGGAAATCATTTTCCTGGGTGAAAAGGAGGAGAGGCTAACTCTTATGACCAGGAATTCCAATGTAGCAAGAGCAGGAAATAAACAGTGGACAGGAGGGCCTGGCCGCAGCGACAAGCATAGCTAGCCCTCTTCCAGGCTTGGAGATCCCCTACTGGATGCTAGCTTACCTGTTAGGGAGCCAGATCCAGGCAGGCGTCTTCATTGTAGAAAGGTGGAAACTGCGGGTCAGGGAGGCCCAGGCCCCCAGTACGTTATTTCAGTAAAGGGAGTGGTCCATAAGACTGTCCTTCATGAACGTAGGGTACATGCCTGTCTTGTCCTGCCTTCTATTTGCGGTGACCAAGAATCAGTAATAAGAGTGTACATTTATGTTTAATGAATTCATTATCATTATTTGAGGTGGATTGTTCATGCTCTTGATTTCCTGCCTTTGTGCCTGGTTTTTCTCTGGCCTCACTGGTGCTGCTGTTGGAGGTATCTCATTTGGAGATGAAAGGAAGAAAAATAAAGACTGCCATCTTGTCTTCTGAAAATTCCACTCACTCTGCCCTGAGATCTTGCTGGCTGTTGTTGGCAGTCTCAGTATCTGAATATCAGCAGTTGCTAATGACGGCCCTGGTGTGTAAGACTTGCCTTCTTGTCTTGCACACATGTTTCTAGACATGAGAGTAAGGGAAGGAAAGAAGTGTCAGCATTTTGGTATTCAGTTCCAGAAGGGTAAAAGGCACGTACAAATGGGACTCCCATAAAACAAAATGAAACAAAATCAACTTTCCTAGTTTCCAACTTTTCCCTAGGGACCACCTTTACAAAACTTGAAGTGAAGTTTACCTTGGAAGTGGTAAAAACTTGGGACGCCTGGGCGGCTCAGTCGGTTAAGTGTCTGTCTTCCGCTCAGGTCACGATCCCGGGGTCCTGGAATCAAGTCCCACATCGGGCTCCCTGCTCAGCGGGAAGCCTGCTTCCCCCTCTGCCTGCCACTCCCCCTGCTTGTGCTCTCTCCCTCTCCTGCAAATAAATAAATAAAATATTTTTTGAAAAAGGAAAGAAAGTAGTAAACATTTGATTAGACGCTTCAGGATGAGACAGCCACCTTTATAGATGAATCCCAAGGATCCTGTGGAATTATAAAATTTTATCTACCTCCTAGGTAAGCCAACCTCAGTCAAACTGAAATATGAGTATTGGGGAACATCAAAACACCTTTAACTTGTCCTTTTGTTTTGGTTTGCCTTTTGACAGAGTGTAATCACAGATCCTTTCAAGCTTGCAGGAGAGTCTGACAATGCAAAGCCCGGATGTTCTTCTGATGTTGCTGGAGGCTGCTGTCTGTAATTTACAGCTGACCAGAAGAAAGGGGCAGATGGTGAAGGACTTACGTGTCTTTTAATCTCCTCTTCCCCACAGCACAGACCATAAGAAAGAATAAATGGTGAAAAGCCACTATGTTCTAGATCATTGATAAAAATAAGGAATTATTTTTTAGAAGATATTAATTGAAGGTTCGTAGCAAATGACGTAAAGGCCGGTTAAGCGGGTTTTCCTCTTTGCTAATTCAAAGTTCTGGTGCCACCTAGTGGTCCGATGTGGAACTGAGATGCAGTCTTTGGGCTTGGCCAATGAGCAAGAAGGGCTTCAGGAGTCTCAGGAAAAACATCTTCCTTCTGACCTGCATAGCACCTTTTGGACTTTCACGGTGTTTGCTCATAAAACAAAGCTCCAACTGAAATCATGCTAATCATGCCAAAAAAATTGCAAAATCAAATTTGTTAGGAGTGCTCTTAAGATATCTTCTAAATCAAATACTTTTTTTTTTGTAATTGAATGAAGAAAACAATTGAATAATGAATCTCTTTGACCTCATTAGATCCTAAAGAATGACAACACTGTGACTATCTGTAGTAAATCTTAACTGGATCAGGAAAGAGTGATAATTTTTAAAAAGAGGTAGGAGATATAAAAACAGTGGGTTTTCTTTTCCTTTATAATGTGCCCCGGTTAAACTTTTAGGAAACTATTAGATTTAGTTCCAGCTTCCATAGTTAAAGAATGAGATTGAGGACTATTTCAGGATGATGTCATCATTAGAAACGAGAACGTTATTTAATTGAAGTCCAGTTGCACTTGAAGACTTTGTCAGGGGACACAGAAAGGTGTAAGTCATATATAAGTCATGGTCCTTGTCATCAGGAGCTGATCAGTTCTTTAATAACAGCCTTTAAGCAATGAAGAGTTTTAATGAGAAAAAGCTCAACCAGTTGCTCTGACTTCAGTGCAAAATAACAAGGGGGAGTGGCATGACCCAAGAGATTTTTTATTAGGGTTCTGAGAATATTTGTAAAACATTGGAATGAATTTTATATTCCAGACCCCTCTTTTAATAAAGCTGTTAAAAATGGAGAAATTCTCAGATTTCTGAGTGGGTTCAGCCATAGGACCTAACTTACTACTACAGAATAAGGAGAGGACTGGGTGGTATCTTTTAAGCTCTATTCATCTCTGTGACCTTGATTCTAAACAGTGTTTTCATGGTTCTAGAATTCCATATCTACTCAGCCGTAACCTACTTCAGTGACAGCATTAGTTAGACCAGTACAAGTGGGATTAAGCATACTTCACCATCCATGAGCCCAAGGTGGTCCTACTATAGGAGGAAAGGATGAAAAGAAAGGACATTCTGGTTATTTGATTTATTAGGCTTTTCTAAATTTAGAGGGAGGAGGTTTTAGGCAATCACTTGTCATTCTGAATTCTTAGTTCCCCCAAAAGATGATGAGGGATGAGTGTGAACTGGAATGTGGAAACTCGTGTTGGGCTTTTCCTAAGAATAACCTACTTTATACATTATCTTCCAACAAAATATACATCATAAGAACTGTATTTGATCTAGAATCTAGATAAAATATTAACTACATAATATAAAATAAAGTAGACATGTTCTGTTCAGAAAAAATGCCATACGTGGTTATTTAAATATTCAAAATAGGTGAGAGACACCTAGGAGCAGACATCCCTTCTCACAGAGGATACCTCTTCTTTAAGCACGGGAAGCAGAGTGGAATAAGAAGGAGGAGGAGCAGAAGTCTGATGGCAAACTTGATGGTTCTTTTTCCACTTGGCATTTTGGCCTCGAGAAAATTATTTAACATCTCTGTGCCTTTGTTCCCTCGTCTGCATGAAGTTCTTTGAAAGGGTGGGTGGCATATGGTTTAAATTGTTACTAGTTTGGATCTATATGGTTGCCACCAGCATGTGATGGCAGGACCAGCTGAAGACCAACTTGCTGCCAGAGCATGGTTTAAGAAGCTGCCTGTAGCTCTTTGGACAGCGGACAACTTTCCCCCCAACACTGTATTACCACCTTTTCAAATATGCAGAAAAGTTTGAAACATTGGAGTGACTGCCTATTTACCTACCACCTAGGTTACCTGTTAACTTTCATTTCATACATGTTATACTTAAAAACAGCAGAGCCAGAGAAACAGATGCCTAATTCTTCTGTAGCTACAAACACTTTTCAGAAGATACTGGACTTACGGGGTGCCTGGCTGGCTCAGTGTGTAGAACGTACAGCTCCTCATCTCAGGGTTGTGAGTTGGAGCCCCACGGTGGGAGTAGAGCTTACATTAAAAAAAAAAAAAAAAATAGTGGCCTTAAAGGGTTTAAGGAGCAGATTTTCTCTTAATTGATTATTGTACCAAATATAGTATTTTCAGTCCTTCATTATCATAGGGAGAGAATTTATTTAAAAATCAGCTAAGGGGCGCCTGGGGGCCCCGAGTTGGGCTCCACACTCAGCTGGGGAGTCTGCTTTTGGATTCTCTCTCTCCCTCTGCCCCTCCCTCTGCTCACGCTCTCTTTATCTCTCTTAAATAAATAAATGGATAGATAAATAAACAAATCTTTATTAAAAAAAAAATCAGGTAAGCCTGCAGAGGCTTTTCAGCTTACCTACTGGAGGGAGCACAGCAGTAGCTTAAACAGGATCCCACCCCCACCCCCACCTCCAGCCACACATGGCTGAAAAGGGCATGGCTCTGTGCCAAGACAGCGGCAGAGCCTGCTTCTCTTATTGATTCTTGGCCTTGCCTTGGATGGCTCCTAGGAAGCAGCAAAGGGGTGACTAATTCTGCCTTATTAGATTGGGAGGTCTCCTAAGTGAGCCTGGCAAGGAATGTGAAGCTATCCATCCAATCTTTCATTTATTCACTATTATTAAGTACCTACTCTGTACCAGGCACTGTCCTAGGCCCAGATCACTAACAATCAAAGATGATGAACCCCGTGGGGCAGCAGAACCAAAACAGCTAAGCCTGTTTTCTAAATGTTGTTGGCACCTGTCCTAACTTCTGCGATTTGCCAAGTTTCTTCAACTGCACAGACAGCACAGATGAGGTCTTAACAAGGGTTCTTTCGAAGACTCTGCCGGGAGAGTCAGTAGAGGGAGATCTCACTAGATAATAAAAATGAACTCTTTTGCAAATATGGAGCTGGAATTATACAATCCTAATAGTAACCTATGACTTGAGCTTTAGTGCCTCATTCCTGTCTCTATTCAGCTGCTGACCCTGCAATTTCTGCAAGCACAGCTCCCACTGAGGTTAATGGGAGTGTTCTGTGAATGTAAGTTTTGTACTTAATCTTCTCCTGCTGCGTGAGCCTTGCTTGTCTTGGACTGATGACCGTACCAATCCCCTTCCCCAATGGGAACATGCTAGCCCCTCCTTTCATGGAGCAGAGCCATGTAGCTGTGGTATGCTCCAGGTGAGGGGAAAATCAATTTGGGACAAAAATGTTCTGCTCTAATGTTACTCCACTGCTTCATAATAATAGCACCCTGCCTCCTATACGTTGTCTAGAAGCCCGAGAGAGTAAAAGAGAACAGTATATTGATACCGTTGCCGGGGCACTGTAAGCCAGACTTGGCTCTACTAACTTTTTAACTAGGCCTATAGCCATTAACTCTCTTCTCATTTGTGGAATGAGAAGTGATGCAGGAGACCGGAAGCAGGTATTCCTTCTCGATCTGGCTCCGCTGCCAAACTAGCTACTTGGCCGTAGGAAAATCATGTGTCCACTTTGCGGTTCACTTTCCCCGTCCGTGAAAGAAGGGAGTTGAATTTGGTATACTCTACATTCCCTGCCAGGCTGGGAAACAGATTTATGGATCTAGAATCTGGAGAGGTCACAGTGCTTTTGAAATTGTTTGAATTCGTTGCCCACATTTATAAATCAGAAGATTTTACATAAAATATGAATTTCTACTTCTCTCGGAGAAGTAGAAATGTTGGCCCCACGAGCCTGGCATTTCTGCCCAGTTGCCACGGCCAGAGTGAAAAGGCTTCCCCTCCAGCCAGAGTGTGCCCCTTCCATCTGCCGCCATCCCTGTCCCATCCACTTTACTGACCCCTGTAGGCTTTTGAGTTTGTGGCCTGTTTTAGGACTAGGATGCGCACATTTTCAACAAAGTTACCAGTGAGGGCTTTATCCCCATGATCATTCAAACGATGGGTCTATGGCCTCATCTAGGAATCTGACTTATATATTTAATTCATTACAAGCAGAAGCCAAGAAGGGCACGTGGAGCTTCGCAGGGATGCTCGCAGGAGGGAACCAGGGTGCTGGGGCTGCTTATGGTAATTTGACATATAACTCAGAGCCTAATTGTGTCAGGTGAGGTGATCTGGACAGTTTATTCTCTGTTCCCAGAGTTAACAAGCCTCCATCACATAACTTTCTTTGTGAATGTTAAATGAACATCCCCTGGAAAGCTAAAACCTCAAAATGTCAAGTTGCTAGGGAGGAAAGGTTTGCACAGCAAGCACAGAAGGATTTGTGCAGCTTCTAGGCTTAGTAGTTAATCTTTTATTAACTGTCCTTATTTTCTTGTTCTTATTAACCTTCTTATTTCTTTCATTTGGATCTAACTAGGGAAATGTTGTGAGGGAGGTATTTTTCTCAACTAGGGGGTGGTTCCTTTTATTACAAGGTGAACATAATCTTTGCCTGGGACTGTCCCAGTTTAAGCCTCAAACTAGGTGAATTATTAATAGTACCCTTTTTTCAGTCTCCAACATGTTCTGTTTTGGACGATAAATTCTGTGGTCTGCTCCTTACATTTATGTTTTACGCACTTCTCTGTAGGTTTGTTGTATGTCAATCTTTTTTTTTTTTTTTAGAAGATTGAAAAATGTATTAGGAAGTCTCACCTATGATCAAGAATCTAGGCCAGCCTGGGAAAACTCATGTTTGCTCTACGATTCGTAATTACCGCACGAACCCCCGTGCTAACAGCTGTGATTTAGGTGTAGACTTCCAAAACAGAGGGGGTGGTGTGTCCCATTTTCTGGGGACTCCTGTGGCATGAGATAGTTATATCTGTTTTTGTTTTTTTTTCTCCTACATGTGGCTGGAAAAATGGTGTACCTTTAGTTCTAATTGTGCAGGTCAGTCAAGATAGCAGATGGGAAAGTGCTTTGTAAACCGTGGAGGTTTTTTCCACTTGGAGTGGCAAGAGTTCCTCAAATTCCTACATTGGCAGGGTCCCAGCATCACTACACTGGTGCTGTCAGTTAATCTTCCTGTAATACAGCTCTTCTACTTATAACTTTTTATAGCTCTGAGTGCCTACAGAATGAAATCTAAATCTCTAAACTTGGCATCCAGTCCACCACAAACTGGCCTGATCAACTTTCCAGCATTATTCTTGCTGTTATTCTTTATGGGCTTTAGAAGCAAATCCGACTGCATGGTGTTCCAAAAATGCTGCCCCCTTTGCTGTCTTGCTTGGTGCTTTTCTCTCCATTAGGGTCCTTTTCCCTCCTTCTCTCTCAGTCCCTTGGTCATGGACTGAATAGTTGTGTCTCTTCCCCCTGCCTCCCCCCTCCAATTCATATGTTGATGCCCTAACCCTCATAGGTGGCTGTGTTTGGGGATGGGACCTCCAAAGAAGTAATTAGGGTTAAATGAGGTCATAAAAATGGGGCCTTGATCTAATAGCATTAGTGTCCTTATAAGAGATACCAGGGAGCTCATTCTCTCTCTCCACATTCAAACTCAGAGGGAAAGCCATGTGAGGACAAAGAGGCCATCTGGAAGCCGAAGAGAGCTCTCACCAGAAACCAACCCTACACGACCTTGATCTGGGACTTCTGGTTTCCAGAACTGTGAGAAAATACATTTCTCTATTTAAGCTACCCAGTGTATGATATTATGTTATGGCAGCCCGAGCACACGAAGACACCTTTCTTGGGCTAGCTCTTACATGGGCATATCGAAAAACCTATCTATTTTTCAAGGACCAACTCAAAGACCATGAAGTCTCAATTCTCCCACTTTATTTGTACTTCTTTTTAAGATGTTTGATGTTCTAACCTGCATATGTCATTATGTAGCAAATGTTTCCTAACTTCTTTACTGGTAAGATTATGGGGTAACCTCTGATTTAGTATTATAGCTCCACAATGCCTAGCACAGTGTCTGGAACTTATTAGATACACAATATATAGTGAATGAATGAATGAATGAGCAAAAGAGAAACAAAGAGATGGGGGAAAGAAATAAGATATAAAACTTTAGTTAAAATTTAAAGAGGAAACAGAGAATTGAGATATATTAATAAATGGGGAGAAATAAGTCTTTAGTAATGTTTAAAATAAAACAAATAGATATCTCAGAGGAACTAAAAATAAGAGCGGATTTTTTTTCCACTGAGGTCTGGCATATTATTTGTCTATACATGGCGGGGAGGGGGGCTGGTGGTGGTGTCTGACTTGGAGTAGATTTCTTGCTCCAGCTTCAGAGGATGTGGAAAAAAGACCATGGGAAGGAACTCAGTTGGTATGAGAAAATTGGCATTTTATGACTGGAGTCGTAATCATAAATTCCAGCTCTAGTATCAGACCCATGCTGGTCTGAATCTCACGGGAGGGCTCAGAATTGGACATTCAGAATCCGTTCTTCCCCCTGAACTCCCATTCCTACTTACCAGCCTCCTGTCAGTCTTCCTTATCAACTGCCTCTTCCTCACTCCCCAAATGTAGTTTTAAAATTAAGATCTTTGAATAGATGACATTCACATGGGTCAACATTTAAAAATTTGGAAGTGAAAAGTTTCCCCAAATCATGACCTGGGTTGAGTGTTTTAGCCACAATGATAAGGATAATCAAGCTCAGAGCCTTTCTTTCTTTCTTTTTTTTTTTTAAGATTTTATTTATTTATTTGAGAGAGAGAGAATGAGAGACAGAGCACGAGAGGGAAGAGGGCAGAGGGAGAAGCAGACCCCCTGCTGAGCAGGGAGCCCGATGCAGGACTCCATCCTGGGACTCCAGGATCATGACCTGAGCTGAAGGCAGTCGCTTAACCAACTGAGCCACCCAGGCGCCCCTCAGAGCCTTTCTTACACGTCTGTCCAAGACGGAGCTGGAGGCTGGAACTGAGATGGAACAGCACTGAGAAAGAACATCCTAAAAGATTTTAGAAAATCCTACAGTTGCAGGCCTGGCAGTCAGGAGGATAGGGGTCCTGAAGCAGGGCCAACAGTGGACTTCTAGCGCAGAGACACCTTTCTCTGAGTAGCCCAGGTCAAGGGGGCAGGGGAGAAAGGAAGCGGGTGACTGTGCAGAGCAGAGACCTCTTGGGGTTGCCCCATAGAAGGGTCGGGAGGGGCAGGCTCCCTGGGAAAAGAGCAGTGGCGGTGTAGGGTGCTGTCCAGCTCCTAAGTCCCCATTGTGGAGGGACCCAGAGCCTTTGGGGGGGGGGCAGGGCAGTGGGAGTCTCCTTTACACACACTTGAGCGCCTGACTGGAGACGGGATTACCGGGAAGGCCGCACCCAAGGAGCTCGGCTCATATCAAGGGAGGAAGCTTTTCTCACAACCCTATCAAAAAGCTGCTTTTGTCTTTCTCTTCCTACTCCACTGACTACATCCAGAAAATATCTAGAAAAGGAGGGAAAGAAAGCCTGAAGAAAGCTTCTAGAGAAGGTAAATGGCATTGCTGATTTGCTGTGATTCCTGATTCTAGCTTCTTTTGTTTGTTTTTGGCCCGCTGTTGTGGCGAGTTCTCATCTGAACTAAAAGATGCCTGTGTATTTAAACCAGTGAACAACGTTGCTTCAGGGGGAACAGATTTCATTCTAGGGAAAGTCTGGGTAACTCCAGTATTTGCCCAGTTCCTGTTTTTCCTCAGAAGATCTAGTGCTTTGGCGTGATTAAAACGTTGCTGCTGCAGCACTAATTTTGAATATTTTCTAAAACCAGGCGATTTTCTAGGGGCAAAGAAAAAACTTCTCTATCAAGTTAGATCTTTATGTTGAAAAACAAAATGCATAGAGAGCTATTTGGTGTTTAACTTGCAATCTGTAAGACAATCAAACTCAAAACGACTTTTAGGTCTAGATGGAGTGATTTCCCAAATCCTGGAATCCACACACATGGGAGTTGATCCTTTGCAGCGGAAAGAGTGGAAGAGTCACTCCTCCCCTTTAGCAGCCAGTGAAGGATTCTGGCAAGAGAGGGTTAGGTAGGGAAGGTGTTTGCTAGAAAGTTCTGGCTTTACCTGAATGACTTGCCTAAGGTCAAAGTCAGGACCTACCTAGGATTAGACACCTATGGCACCCACTTAGCCATCTCAGGCCTTTTGTAGCCCTTTTCGGAGGTGAAATATTGTCAGAATTCAAAATTTTATTGTATTTGTTTTCCTCCAGATTTAAAAAGAGATCCCTAGAAGCAAGTGTTGCCCTTGTCCTCCATTCACACAGATGGACAGACTTGGAAGCCCCTGGAAGTCATGACAAACCTGCACCAGCACCCCTCACTAAAAAGAGGGTGACTCTTTGAGCTAACAAGCCTCCAAACTCAAAGGAAGATCCTTCTTTCTGAGGAGTTTACTTGGCTTAGGTATCTAGATTGCTCTGTGTCCTGGGTCTACGTGAAGAATATGACACCCCCACCCTGCCCCCCAGCACCATTCAGGATAAGCATCACTTACTGATCCCAGTGTGAATTTGGTTTGTTTTTATTTTTATTTTTATTTAATTTATTAATTTTTATTGTTTAGGTGGGAGGAGGGCAGAGAGAGAGGGAGAGAGGAAATCTCAAGCAGGCTCCACGCCCAGTGCGTGAGTCCAACTTGAGGCTTGATCTCCCTGAGATCATGACCTGAGCCGAAATCAAGAGTCAGATGCTTAACTGACTGAGCCACCCAGGCGCCCCTGAGCTTGGTTAATTTTATATTGTAAGTTGTCCCAGTGGGTCCTTCCTTATATTTTTTGCTATGAAGTCCTGAATTTCTAACTTGTTTCTAAACTGCTGAATGCCACACTTTCCTGGCCGTTCTAGCTTTCTCTGCAATGCACAGGAAATATCTGTCTGTTTGGCCCGCTCTCCCCCGCACCCCTTCTCCACACTTATTTCGAAAGTGTACATTCAGCATTTGTGAGTCTTTAATGGTCTTCCCTCTTAGCTCCCTTAAACACACTCGAACTCACACTTTTTAAGAAGTTTAAAACAGTTTCATTTTCAATCAGCTGACTTAGAAGGACCGTATCCATCTTTAACCTTTGTCAGATATCCCTAAAAATCTCAACTTTTTTTGCTTCTAAACTTTGATAATGCTATTTTTATAAATGCATGCCAAGTTTGTGAATCGGGTTTTTGTCATCTGAACTTATTTTTTCAAATATAGCAGTAAGAGAACTGGGGGTGGGGGAAGGATTGCCAGAAACTGACGGGCTAGAAAATAGAGTCAGGGACATGAGTTGAAAATAATCAGAATAAAAATTCTTTCATTTCTTTAACACTCTACAAATTTTCTTTTCAACATCTACTGTTGTTCTAGGCCCTGGTAATACAGCAGTGAACAAAACTGACAAAATCCTTGTCCTCACGAAGTCAAGCTCTGGTGGAAGGAGACAGATAATAAACAAAATTAAGGACAATGAAGCAGAGATGGAGTGTAGGCAATGTTTGTGAGTTTAAAAAAAGGTGGCCTTTGGGGTGCCTGGGTGGCATAGTCAGTTGAGAGTCCGACTCTTGGTTTCAGCTCAGGTGGTGGTCTCAGAGTTGTGAGATCAAGCCCCAAGACGAGCCCCACGTCAGGCTCTGTGCTCAGTGTGGAGTCTGCTTCAGATTCTCTCTCCCTCTCCCTCTGCCCCTCCCACTCGTGCTCCCTCTCTCAAATAAATAAATAAATCTTAAAAAAAAAAAGGTGGCCTTTGGGCAGTCTTGGAGGGGGACTGATGGGGTACACTGACATCTGGGGTAAGAGAGTCCCAGGGACAGGAAACAAATAGCAAGTGCACAGGCTTCTCAGGGAGCATCCCTGAAGTGAATGAGAAACGGCTAGGAGAAACTGGCTGAAGCAGCAGGTGATGGGGTCAGAGAAATAAGGAGAGACAGCACACCCTTACGAGCCTTGTGGGCTATTGTAGGGACTGTGGCTTTTACTGTGATGAAATGGGAAGCCGGGTGAGGATTTCAAACAAAGGAACAACAGGATTTGACTTAACAAGACCACTCTGGCTGCTGGGCTGAGAAGGGAAAGAGGCAGGTGTGGAAGAGGAGGGACCCTTAAGAGGCCATTGCTATTACCCCTACCAGAAATTAATCAGAAACGTCTGACCTGTTTACAAAAAGGGAAGAAAATGTGCTTGCAGAATTGAAAAAAAAAAAAACAAAACAATTATATTTTGGGTGTTTAAGTTGCAACAAGAAGACCAATTTGGCAGTTACTTTGCTACAGTGCCTCCTCCAGACACAGTGGTTTGGGAGTCCTGGGGAGCTGGGTCTTCAGGGTTTTTTCCTCCTGAATTTTAAGTTTTCTTTTACAATTTTTATTAAGTAATCTCTATGCCCAATGTGGGGCTCGAACTCACAACCCTGAGATCAAGAGTCACATGCTCTATCAACTGAGCCAGCCAGGCACCCTCAGCATCTTTTTCTCCTGAGTAACCCATGGACCTAGCAGGGTTTGGTCAGGTGATTAGTAAGCCCTGGGTAGGCGCCAGGGTGGGTCAGTTGGTTGAGTGTCAGAGCTTGATTTCGGCTCAGGTTGTGATCTCAGAGTTGTGAGATCGAGCCCAGCGTGGGGCTCTGTGCTCAGCGCAGAGTCTCCTTGTCCCTCTCCCTCTGCTCCTCCCCCTGCTCTCTCTCAAATATTTAAATAAATAAATAAATAAAATCTTTTAAAAAAGAAGAAGCCTTTATGGGTCTCTTAGGATGTCTGCCCCCTGCCATTTCCCAAACTTGCCTGGCTGCCTGTTAGAGATACAGATTCCTGGGTCCTGTCCCTTCAGTAAACATGGAATGGGGCCCAGGGATATACACTTTCAGCAAGAATATGAGAGAAATCTTCTTTTTAATTTATTTTATTTATTATTATTATTATTTTAAAGATTTTATTTATTTGACAGAGAGAGATGCAGCGAGAGAGGGAACACAAGCAGGGGGAGTGGGAGAGGGAGAAGCAGGCTTCCCATGGAGGAGGGAGCCTGATGGGGGCTCCATCCCAGGACCCTGGGATCATGACCTGAATAGAAGGCAGACGCTTAAAGACTGAGCCACCCGGGCACCCCTTATTATTTTTTTTAAAGACAGAGCAAGAGTGCGAGCGAGGGGGAGGAGGCACAGAAGAAGAGGGAGAGAGAAAATCTCAAGCCAACTCCACGCCGAGCACGGAGCCCAACTTGGGGCCCCATCTCATGATCCTGAGATTATGACCTGAGCCGAAATCAAGAGTTGGATGCTTAGCCGACTAAGCCATGCAGGTGCCCCTTCTTTTTAAATTATTGGGGTAAAATCGGTATATAATATATAAGTTTCAGGTATACACTGTTAAATTTGATATTTGTGGAGTGTACAAAGTGATCACCACCATAAATGTAGTTACCATCAGCACCATACAAATGAGCACTTTCACCCATTTTACCCAACCCTAACCCCTCCTGCCTCTGGTAACCATCAGTATGTTCTCTGTATGTATGAGTTTGTTTTTGTTTTGTTCATTTTGTTTTTTAGATTCCACATATAAGTGAAATTGTACTGTATCTTTCTTTGTCCTGTGACTTATTTCACTTAGTATTACCCTCAACTCTATCTATATTGTCGCAAATGGCAAGATTGCCTTTTTTTTTTTTTTAATGACCCAGTACTATTCCATTGTATTTCCATATCTTGGCTATTGTAAATAATGCTTTTATGAATATAGGGGTGTGCATATATTTTCAAATCAATGTTTTGTATTCTTTGGCTAAATACCCAGAAAAGGAATAGTTGGGCCATATGGTAATTATATTTTTGATTTTTTTGAGGAATCCTCATATTGTTCTCGGTGGTGTCGGCACCAAGTTGATTCCCACTAACAGTGCAGGAGGGTTCTTTCCTCCACATCCTCTCTAACACTTGTTATTTCTTGTCTTTTTGGTAATAGCCATTGTAACAGGTGTGAGGTGATATTTCATTGTGGTTTTGGTTTGCATTCCTCTGATGATTAGTGATGTTGAACATCTTTTCATGTGCCTGTTGGCCATCTTTGGAAAAAATGTCTATTCAGATCATCTGCCCATTTTTTAATTGGGCTGGTTTTTGTTGTTGTTGTTGAGTTGCGTGAGTTCTTTATGTTTTGGATACTAAAGCCTTATCAGGTATGTGATTTGCAAAAATTTTCTTCCATTGAGTAGGATGCCTTTTTGTTTTTTTGGTTTCCTTCACCGTGCCAAAGCTTTTTAGTTTGTTGTAGTCCCATTTATTTATTTTTGCTTTTGTTTACCTTGCCTTTGGAGTCAGATCCAAAAAGTTTTTAAAAATCACTAAAACCAATGTCAAAGAGCTTGCCACCTTTTCTTCTCAGAATTCCATGGTTTCAGATCTTACATTAAAGTCTTTAACCCATTTTGAATTAATTTTTATGTATGGTGTAGGATAGTGGCTTAATTTCATTCATTTGTATGTAGATGTCCCGTTTTCCAACACCATTAATTGAAGAGACTGTCCTTTCCCCATTGTATACTCATGGCTCATTTGTCCTAAAATTAATTAACCATGTATGTGTGGGTTTATTTCTGGGCTCTCTATTGCATCCCATTGACCTATGTGCCTTTTTAATACCAATACCATATTGTTTTGATTACTATAGCTTTGTGGTATAGTGAGGGGGTTCTTGACTTGTAAGGTGGGGAAACTGCTTCACTATAACCTTCCCACCTCTGGCACAGCTTTTGGGGTTTGCGGACCTGAAAAGTATTGCAGGGTGCCCACGTGGCCGGCAGGTGGCGCCATATGACCACAAAGCTGCAGAGTGAGAGCATCCCATAGCGAGAAGTGAGTCTCCAGAAGAAACCGGTCAATAGGTGTTGGGGCTACTGAGCCGCCGCTTATCTCGGGCAGAGCGGCGTGGACAAGTAGAGGTGGGTGGCGCAGCCGGTGTCCCGCTTTTCAGGCAAATGTGCATCTTAAGACCTCCCTAGTCGGCTTCTCGGACCCATGGGGCGGCCCTCTCCGCACGAACATTGAGCACTGCGGGAGCGGGCAATGCGGTGCGGCGAAAAACCGCCTAACGCCACAGGAGATTAGCCCAACGCTGCCTACCCAGGTGCGGGAATCTACTACCGAAGCCCCTCAGGGAGCGCCAGACCCACAGACGGCCCCTTTTCATTGGTAGCTGGACTTGAGGCCCCGCCCCCTTTCGTACAGCCCTCATCTGTGACTGGCTCTCGGGCCCCAGCTGGCCACACCTCCTCCCCTCGCACATACACAAGAGTCACGCGCCTTTCAGTTGGAAACTTGGCGTGCTGAGGGGGACGGTGGCCTTCATCGCCCCACCCACCTACCTTGCTATTGGTCCGCGGCTCCGCTCATGACCACGCCCCCATTCCAGCCCCCTGGCTGGGAGGGTGGGCACCTGCGCGTGATTGGCTAGTCCGCCTGCCTCTCGCGGGAGCGGCTGGCGCTTCCCCCTCCCTTTTTCCCCTCCCGCGAGTCTCCAGGTTCCTCAGCTAGCCGAGGCCGAGTCAGTGTCAGTCAGGGAGCCGGACTGCTGAACAGTGTGTGCGGACGCTCCGCCGCAATCTCGCCCAGGGGCCGGTGCCTGCGCTCGCGCCGCCGGGTGGGAAGGATGAAGCCGCAGCTGGAGCAGCCACCCTATGATTGGCTGTGTCGCTTGTGAACCCGAAGTAAAGATGGCGGGCGGGCAGGCAGCCGCCGCACTGCCCACTTGGAAGATGGCGGCGCGCCGCAGCCTCAGCGCCCGCGGCCGGGGGGTCCTGCAGGCAGCGGCGGGCCGGCTGCTGCCGCTGCTACTGCTGAGCTGCTGCTGCGGCGCGGGCGGCTGCGCAGCAGCGGGCGAGAACGAGGAGACGGTGATCATCGGGTTGCGGCTGGAGGACACGAACGACGTGTCGTTCATGGAAGGGGGGGCGCTGCGGGTGAGCGAGCGGACCCGGGTCAAGCTGCGGGTGTACGGGCAGAACATCAACAACGAGACGTGGTCCCGCATCGCCTTCACGGAGCATGAGCGGCGGCGCCACAGCCCAGGCGAGCGCGGGCTAGGGGGCCCCGCGCCGCCAGAGCCGGACAGCGGCCCCCAGCGCTGCGGCATCCGCACCTCAGATATCATCATCTTGCCCCACATCATTCTCAACCGCCGTACATCGGGCATCATTGAAATCGAGATCAAACCGCTGCGCAAGATGGAGAAGAGCAAGTCCTATTACCTGTGCACATCGCTCTCCACACCAGCCCTAGGCGCCGGCGGCCCGGGGTCCGCGGGTGGCGCCGTCGGGGGCAAGGGCGGCTCCGGGGTGGCCGGGCTCCCGCCGCCCCCGTGGGCCGAGACCACCTGGATTTATCACGACGGCGAGGACACCAAGATGATTGTGGGCGAGGAGAAGAAGTTCCTGCTGCCCTTCTGGCTGCAGGTGATCTTCATTTCGCTGCTCCTGTGCCTGTCGGGCATGTTCAGCGGCCTCAACCTGGGGCTGATGGCTCTGGACCCGATGGAGCTGCGCATCGTGCAGAACTGCGGCACGGAGAAAGAGAAGAATTATGCCAAGCGCATCGAGCCCGTGCGCAGGCAGGGAAACTACCTGCTGTGCTCGCTGCTGCTGGGCAACGTGCTGGTCAACACCACGCTCACCATCCTGCTCGACGACATCGCCGGCTCAGGCCTCGTGGCGGTGGTGGTCTCCACCATCGGCATCGTCATCTTTGGGGAAATCGTGCCCCAGGCCATCTGCTCCCGGCACGGCCTGGCTGTAGGGGCCAACACCATCTTCCTCACCAAGTTTTTCATGATGATGACCTTCCCCGCTTCTTACCCGGTTAGCAAGCTGCTGGACTGCGTCCTCGGCCAGGAGATAGGCACTGTCTATAACCGGGAAAAACTGCTGGAGATGCTCCGGGTCACCGACCCCTACAACGACCTCGTTAAGGAGGAGCTGAACATCATCCAAGGGGCGCTGGAGCTCCGCACCAAGACAGTGGAGGACGTGATGACTCCGCTCCGGGACTGCTTCATGATCACCGGCGAAGCCATTCTGGACTTCAACACCATGTCGGAGATCATGGAGAGCGGCTACACCCGTATTCCAGTATTTGAGGGGGAGCGCTCCAACATCGTGGACCTCCTCTTTGTCAAAGACTTGGCCTTCGTGGATCCAGATGACTGTACTCCCCTGAAAACCATCACTAAATTTTATAACCACCCCTTGCACTTTGTTTTCAATGACACCAAGTTGGACGCTATGCTGGAAGAATTTAAGAAAGGTGGGAAATTTTGGTATCTTTCATTGGCTTGCTTTTTCTCTCTCCATCCCCCTCCCTACTTGAGCCCTCTACCAACCCCCCAAGGCGAGTTGACCGGAATTTCTCCTCTCTCTTAATTGCAAAGTTGAAAGGGTGGCGTGGATTTGGGGATGGATTGAACTAGTAAGAGCTTCTAGGTTTTTTTTAAAAGCACAAGGCTAACGTCACTGGCTTTTTCGCATTTCAGAAAGCAGCCGTTCTATTTTCTGTGCATGATACTGCCTGCAACTCTGGTCTTGAGGGGTCTGCTGCGTTCATTGCCCCAGTTCTGAGTGGGTGGTTGCAAATAGGGGCCAGCTGATGCCATGCTGTGACATCTGGCTGAGATGTACTCCTCTCCGGCGTTTGGAAAACATTTAAATAGGTTTAGAATATCTATAGGTTTAGGATTTAGAAAGTCCTTTTCCTCCTCCTTAAACATTCATTGACATTTCAGAGATTGGAAGTGCCTTTTCAGTAGCTCTGTTCCTGGTTGTCAGGCCACCTGTGGGGCAGACTGAGGTCTGCCTTTGGAGATAGGGGATGGGTTAAGCCAAATATCACCAAAAAGGTTCACTCATCCGGATGTGACTTGCCTTAGCTAGAAAAGAGAGTTTTTTTAAAAAGTAAAGTTAGTTATTAATGTATGACTTAGAAAGACTAGGGGTGAGTTAACCTTTTATGAGGCTATCTTGTCTAGCTTTCTTCACTATTTGTTTATCTTTACTTGACAAATAAAATTTCCCAAACCAAGTGTGGTTTTGGCAGAGATCTTGAACATTTAACAATGGGATGACGCCCTCTGTTGTGGTTTATTTATTTCTTGCGTTTTTTTCTGGTTTGTAAGTGTTCTTTTTGACCTTGATCACTTGGTATATTAAGTTCAAGTTTTTAAAAAACCAAGTCAGTGCTCACTGTTCTGGGGAGTTTTAGCAGGGAAGAGAGGCGCAGAGTCTGATGTGCTCACCTTTCTTGCATGGTGGTATTTTTGTTTGTTTTACCATCTAATGAACAGGCAAATAGCAACTCATGCAATTATTACTGAAATTCTGTCTTTAAAAAAGTTTCCAGTGAATAGTGTTGCCATTTGAAAATCAAGGGCTGCTGAGCTGTTTAATTGCTGTGGTGCTAGTGCAGGTATTAAAATGTGTATGTAACCTTTAATGACTTGCTAGTCCTCAAAACTAAGTTTTCCTTCTGCAAATAGAATTTTGAGCGCTCAGAGTGGTCTCTCCACCAAAAAAGGCTGTGTTTAGTAAGTGTTGACAGCTCACGAACGCGGTGATCTGAACATCCCCATAGAGCGTGTGTTTGCCCTAGTTCCATTCTCCTGGCTGAATGGTGTCCTCTCTGGAACGGGATCACATTGCAGTAATTTTCAGATAAAGGAATAGAGCAGAATGTGCTTCAGAGATTGGTAATTTGCATTTAAAAGCAGAAGGAGATTCTTCTGGATTCTTAAACAGTAAAAAGAAAATGTCCATTATCTAAGTAACAGAGCTTCTTTTGGGGGGTGTCATTATCCTTTCACTGCTAAGCTGTTAATTAGAGCATCTGACCAATCTCTTCTTTCATGTTGCAATAATATATCTAGTACAGAAAGATACCTTGCAGTGCTTGAAAATGCCTCTGAAATACTTTCTTTCTGTTGCTAGGTTTTGCAACATTGAGACCGATAATTTATTCCATGATTTTTTAATTCAGAATTTTTGCCTATCTCCTGATGGATTGAAACACTAGTGTGTCCTCCCTGCTGAATGAAGCCTATTCTTCACTTCTATATCTTTTTTTCTTGGAGAATTTAGCTCTTTACCTTACAACTCATTAATCTTGCCCCTACCTCAAAATTTCAAAATTTGCATCATTTTGAAACTTGTTTTTGGTTGTCCTTGAACAAGATTCCTATGTATTTTCTGTGGTTTATTTTCAGGAGGAACTTTTTCTCCCCAATGTTACCTCTCACGGTACCTTTAGATAACGGAGTTACTAATATTTTCCCATGAATTTTTGAAAAATAATAATGCACAGAACTTTTTGTCCTTAACCAGAGTGATATGTTTGGTTAAGGAGATAGTACAAGTTAAAGGTACACTCAAGTTAGTGGCATGTTTGGAAGAGCAGGCAAAGACAGTAGGTTGCAAATGGGAAATTTCAGCCATGATCTTAGAAGGATAGAGTGGGTGTTTGTTACTTAAACTGTAGAACCATTGATTCTTCACCTTCCCCTTCTTGATCTTTTTTTGATGAGTTTGGTCACTTTAACCTTACTAACGGCTGCGTTAGTTCTTTCTTCCCTGTGACTTAAAATATTTTACCAGATACTGTTTTCTTTATTTTCTAATTCACTTTGAAATACTGTGAACAGTCAACCTTTATTGTTTTTTCTCTATTGAATAATGGTGTATGGGATGGTGTGAAGGCTTTTTCTTCCTCTCTTTCCTTCCTTCTCCTAATAATACCAACTGTAACTCCCTCAGACTGTTAGAACATTAATCCAGATCTCATTGAAAATTGCCCTTCCCAACTAAGAATGTCTGCCTTGAAGTCTTTTCTTTATAGAGCTGTACATCATCAGTGTGAGTTATGCTTTACCACCGAGGGGGAAAGGTTCCCGATGTGGAAAGAAATGAAAAGCTACCTTTATATAAGAATGTGTGAATGTCTTCTTTCTATTGATTAGAACTTTTTGCCTGGCTACTTGGAAAATCAGCTTTCCTTGAGGTTGGAAGACAGTCATTATACTCATTTTGCAGTTAGCTTTTTATTTATTGACTGCGCCAGGCACAGGGCTGAATGTTTTACATGAATTACCTTGTTTAAATCTCACAGTGGCCGAGCGAAGCCTTTCCTCCATTTTACAAGTGAGGAAATTGAGATTCAGGTTACATGATTTGTTCAAGGTCACACAGTAATTTGTTGATATGGGTTTTAACTCAGGTCTGCATGACAACCAAACTGGAGCTCTTAACTACTCTAGGCTTAACCATTACGCTGGTCCCCTTGATTCTGATCTTACATTTCTGGTTTGAGTGAGGGTGAAGTTTGGTCTTTTGTCAAAGCATTGCCTCAGAGCTAGTTGGGCAACAGTCACAGAAATGTATTTAAACATATAGATGGCTTTAAACCCAGGGCTTCTGTGATGGTGTACATAATAGTTGGTTTCCCCACTTTTGCCATTAAAACAAATCCGTTTCTTGGCCGTTGTGATCCTAAATCTAAAGAATGCTTTTCCATGCCAAGCATCAAGTTTCATTTTGGTGAAAATGTTTTATGCTAACGTTATAATGTACTAGTGTGCTGCTTTAATGAAAGATTCTACGGCTGTCTTTCTCATAGCTAAAGCATGCAATAATGCTTCACTCTTGTTTTTCATCTGTCCTGCTGCAAGGTTGACTCAAATTCAGTTTTGTGGTTTTTTTTTTTAAGATTTTATTTATTTATTTGAGACAGAGAGAACGAGAGAGAGAGAGCACATGGGGGGGGGGGGTCAGAGGCAGAAGCAGGCTCCCTGCCGAGCAGGGAGCCCGATGCGGGACTCGGTCCAGGGACTCCAGGATCATGACCTGAGCCGAAGGCAGTTGCTTAACCAACTGAGCCACCCAGGCACCCTGTTTGTTTGTTTTTTTTAAGATTTTATTTATTTGAGAGAGAAAGAGTATGCGAGCGAGAGAGCACAAGCAGGGGGTAGCAGCAGAGGGAGAGGGAGAAGCAGACTCCCCACTGAGCAGGGAGCTGATGCCGGGCTCCATCTCAGGACCCTGAGATCATGACCTAAGCCGAAAGCAGTCGCTTAACCAACTGAGCCACCCAGGCGCCCCAGTTTTGTGTTTTAATCTTGATTTTATTTGCATTTTTGTTGCCACCTATATAGTAATTGATTGCTAATGAGCATCCTTTACAGCTGTGCCCCTCTGTGCTCCATGCAATCGTTCTTTTTCTTTAGTTACTTTTGTAGTCACTTACAATTTTAAATAAGAGGATAAAAGTAAACCCCAGGAGAAGATTATGAGACTTCTAGAAAAACTGTCTTGAAGCAAAATTGTGGAGAGGAAGGAAAGCTAAATTGAAGGTTGCTACCTTCAGAAAGGACACCAGAGGTTCTCCACTGACCTGACAAAACCTTCCTTGTAAAACATTGTGGACTCTTGGCCACCCAGTTGACTCTACTGGGGTTGAATTTGAAGAATTAGTAACTAGTTATTATTGTTTTGTTTTGTTTTTTTTCTTTTTGCTTTGTAACAATTGCATTCCAGTATTGCAGAGCATGCGGTTTTATAGCTGCTAGGGACTTAGCCAGGCTATTTTCTAGCTTTTCCTTAACCAGGAACAGGTAGGATCACCAGATAATGTTCCTTAAGGGAAGAGTGTTTTCACTTAAACACTGTTTAAGTGTTTTCACTTAAAACACTAGGTATGCAATTCTCTCTTCCTATAACACAAGTCTTTCCATATCAGTGTGATGAGGGTTTAATGTTGGAAACTTTTTTCCTTACCAAACAAAGTGTTTCACTTGCCTAGAATCTAGAAGGATGTTTTTATTGGTGTTTGAAGGCATGAATGAATGATGGCAGGGATGGATGGGTGGATATATTTGCTTCTATGATCTTGTATGTTTAGTAACTTTGTACAGTAACAGTGTTAAACTATTATAATTTCATATGTTTTTAGATCATCATTATGAAATATCCAGCTAGTGTAGAATCAGAGGTGGAAGGCAGGCAGCTTGAGGATCATCTCCAGTGTTTGCAAAACTTACCGGGTGATAAGAACCACTTGGATCACTTATTAAGAATAAGGTCCTAGGCCTCATGCAGAGGTGTCCTGAAGCAGAATCTAGGGAAGGAGGCTTGGGACACATATCTTTAACAGTTACCCTACAGTTAGGTAAGTTTAGAAAACGTTGACCTAGTCATCCTTGTAAATAAGGAAAGTACACCCTGAGAAGGAAAGTCTTATAAGTGACTTGCTCAGGGCTACCCACC